AATTTTTTTTTATTTAGATGCATGTCTTTACTTATCATTTGTTTTTTTTATAAATCTAACTCTTTACCTGCCCACAAGTGGTATTCAAAATTATAACTTTTTTTTTACCAATATTAAGGGTATTGTTACAGAATTACTAAGCCAACCCTACCCTAGATAATAATTCCAAATAAAGAGCTTTATTTTTTATTGCGAAAGTTATAAAAATTATAATTATATTATTTTTATACAGATGTATTATACTACAAAAACGTATGTAAGAGACAAAGTCGTGCCTGTTCTTAAGAGAGCTGATTCTGTTAAACAATTGGCAATGTTAGATGATGCTTTAAGTGTAGCTGATAAATATGTGGACAAATATTTACCCGATAAGGATCCTGTAGAAGATTTAACTGATAAACCGAGTATATTTATATTTTAAATTGTTTGTTTTTAATTAGAGAATAAAAATATTAACTCTTATTTTAGTAATATTTAATATTATTAATCGAGCACAATTAAAAACTATTTGGCATTCAAATATTTTTAATATCTATTTGGTAAAACGAATCTTAAGTTCTATTCAATGGTTTTTAATATTCGATAGTTATGCTAAAAATTATCATTCCGCTGGATAAAAATTATACGATAGCTTTGAATATTCGAAAATGCTAATCACTAATTTTTAGCTTAATGATTTATTAAAAATGTTAATTTTTTTTTCCTAAAGATCAAGAACCATCTAGCCAAGCTGTGAAAACTATCCGTCATGTCAATCGGTTTTCTAGAAAGTTACAAAGACGATTGACTCGTCGCACTATAGCAGAAGCTAAATTACTTAAAAAACAGGGTTACGATACCGTAAATTGTCTTGTTTACTTTGCAGATCTTGTAAGTATAAAATATTAGCTTTATTACATGAGAATACTTATAAGTTATAAAATAGTCAGTTTGTGTATTGTTAAAAACTAGAAAGTAAGAAAATTTTGTCGCAACTATATTCTTTTTGGGTTTTACAAACTCAATATATAATTTTTATAAACCGTCTGACAAATTATTTATAGCCATTTGCACCCAAATGCAGCGGGAAAGTTTCCTCTAGGAAGTAATTTTTCTCGATTATTTAAAGCTGTTAATTTATCATTTTACAGTTCTCAATTTTTTCTAGTAAAAAGTAAAGAAAAAAACTACTTTAAGAGTAGAAAAAAATGTTTAAATTGAACTAGAAACCTTCATTAATTTCCTTTAAATATTTCAATAGTTGGCGAAGGACCCAAACGCATTCGCTCAGAAAATTAAAGTTATTTGGCAACATTTGAGCGAAGATGAACCCGAAAATCAAAAGCCCCCAGAAAATATTGAACAACTTATAGAAATGTTAACCAGAGAAAGTGCAAGACGATTTGTACACGCATCCAATTTTGTTGTTAATAGCATTTACATGACACCTACCTATTCTAAAAGAGCATTTCATTTCATTGGCCAAGAAGCATCATATTTAGTGGATAAGATTTTAGAGGTAATTTTTTAAGAAAATTTTTATTTACATTATTTAAAAAAAAGACAATTGTCTAAATTTTAAAATAAAAAATACAATATCTAAAACTCTCTATTAATTTCTATCATATTCTTGGATATTTATTATTGAAAAAATAATAAATTAATTTAAAATTACCAATTTCAATAAATTTTGTTAATAGTGTATTGAATTTGTTTTTATCATTTAATTTTTTGTCTTTAATCGTTTATTATGTCTACAATATAAATTCAGGTTCACAAGATTTATCATTTTTTTAGAAATCTAATGCATGCTGTAAACCACATACATATTTAAAGGAATGAATTATCAAAATTATAGTCTTGATAATTTAATCCCTTCTAATTAAAAAAAAAAAAATTTGTTCCTACAAATTTTATATATTATACGTACAAAATGCTTAGTTTTTTCGTTTGATTTTTATTTTATTATTTAAAAAAATTATATTTAATTACTTAATAGGGATGAAATATATTTTAAATTATTTATCATAAATATCGAAACATTGAATATTTACAATAGTATCACAGAATTACTTTGTATATTAACAAACGAAAGAATTTCTGTTTGAGATTATACAACATAACTAAGGATAATTAGAAGAAATTGAATACGCTTTTATAGAATGTTCCATCATAATTCACTTATTTTAATATTAGTTTATATTGTCAAAAGGGGTGGATGGTTGGTTGATGTTCGGTATGTAAAACATCATCCTAAGTAATGTAAGGTCCACTGAAATGCACTGTAATTTTAATGTTTAAACGTGTTAGTGCTATAGAAAACATTTTGAATAACAAATATTAAAGGCTGCTACAAAAAACCTAAAAATTCTAATTATAATTATAATTCTTGAATTTTAATTGTTAGATGATTTAGATGACTTCATTTTTTTTATGGACAATGTGTTACTTGTTAATCAATTAGATATTGAATTATTAATAAAAAAATATATGTTTTAAATATATAAAAAGAAAATGAATTAAAATATTAAATTATGGTTTATAGGTATTAGTTATCATTAGACGCTTCACATATAAATTTATATTGTAACTACTATAAGTGAAGTGATTATTATTGCCTCCCAAATACGAAAAATGTTTGTAGAAGTTTTTAAATACGACCAATAATTATTTATTTTATTGTTACAGTACGCTCATTTAGAAGATGTAAAAGTCACTGTAGAAGATATAGCCAAATTTCAAATCGCTAAAACGAAAAAAAATATAGAAGAAATGTGGAAATTAATATTGGTAAAATATTATTATAGATTTTAACAGATAGCTAATGACTGATTTATCATTATTATTTTTATAATGTAAATTAGGAATACTTGTTAACGTTGAGAGATACATTAAAAAACTCGAAAAATAAAAGTTGCCAAAACAAAGAAAATGATGTGAATACATCCAAAGAGTATAGACTTAAGAAAAAATCACAAAAATCAAACGGAGAAAAAAAGCCAGCGGAACAGACGTCTTCTTCTTCCTCGACGGTGGACACTACGTCTTAAATACGAATCTTCAAAACCAACTTTTGTCATATTATATTAGCCCATAAATATACATGTTGTATTTATAAATATGTAACATTCAAATATTTTTTGACTTTAATTCGTATTTGTAATTTAAAATTTAGTATTTTATAATTATCTCTAACGCTGCATACATATATTAATATTAATATACAGTAATATTTAAATGGATAGACACATATTTAGTTTTAACATTGTATGTGTTAAAATAATTATAATTGTCGATAAAGACTGCATTTTTTTTTTGCTTTTTATTTAAAAAATGACATCTTGTTAGTGTGCCTATATATAGGCGCAGTATATGAGGAATTTCAAATGGTTGTAAGGTTTCAGTTTATTGGTGTATAATTAAACACTAAACGTACAATATTCAAATAAAATCGATGTAATTTTTTTTTCAGACTCATTGGAATTTTTTTATCGCATAAGACCCTAGACGCTTCTCTCCACTTCACCCACCCACGCTTAATCTCGTATCTTACATCCTCGTCAATACCACCGGTCTTTTGCACAACTGACCCTAAATACTTAAAACTATTAGTTGCCTCACACAAAATACTGGCTCCATTGTTGACTTACCAGGCATAAATCCAAACTGGTTTTTAGATACCGATGTCTCATTTCTTACTCTTTTATCTATTATCTTTTCCCAAATTTTCATACTATGACTCATAAGCTTTATGCCTCTATAATTTCCACACTCCTGTACATCACCTTTACCTTTAAATATCGGCTCCATAATACTATTCTTTCATTCATTTGATATTTTCCCCCTCCAATAAGATTTTATTTAAAAGTTCCTTCAACCACCTTATCCCAACACCACCTAATATTTTCCATACTTCTACTGGCACTTCATCTGGTCTTACTGCTTTATTCTTTTTCATTGATGCCACAGCCTCCCATACCTCTTTCTCAATAATTAAATCTACCAGTCATTCATTCCACAAGATATCCTCTAATGTCTATTTTTATTTATGAAAATTAAGTTAGTAATTGGAGCCTCAATGACTATTACTTAAGTAAAATTTCTGTTTGATATTTAATCTAATATAATTATATTAACTAAACACTTGAAATTTTTGACCGAGGGAAATTGTAAATTTTGGCTGATATAACAACTCTGATGAGAATTTTTCAAATATTTTATGCCATAGTAGTGACTAACAGAACAATAATATTTCATCCATTGAAAAATCGTGTCCAGTGTTGTACATATATACATCAGGGGACCTGGAGCCTCATAAAAATTCAGTTTTGCTGTTTGAATTGAACACTGATCCTATGTAAATCACTGTTATAAGGTATAATTTCAACTAAACAATTATATTTTGATGAGTGTTATTAGGAATCAGAAATTGATAGAAATAAACACAAATAAGAAGTCATTAAATTAAAAAATTAGACTGTTGTCACATAATAGTGCAAACATTGTTATTGATAATTTCTAAATATTATATTTTTAATTTGATATTACTTATATAAAGACAATTAGATCGAAACAAACACTACTGATAATACTATTAATGGTGTTTTTTTAAAAGAAGACATTAAATCAATAAGGCAGAAAATACCAAAATTAATTTTTAGTTCAAAAGTTTTAACCTAAAAAAAGTCCTGTCAAATATCAGATACCATCTTGCCAATAGATTAGTATTATTTAAAGTACAAAAAATGTACTTAGAATAACATCTATACATCGTCATTTAAAATATCTTTTCTGGTATTAATGTCATTACTTTAATTTGTGAAAAATTCCATATTGAGTTTATATTATTGTACAATAGGTTTTACAGTAATAACTTAGTGTACATAATCAAAAAGTTAAGGCCTATAGTGCAGTGTATTATGAATAAAAATTTTATTTATTTAAAAAAATATGTTAAGTTTTAAATTACAGAACATAATTGATTTAAATTTTATTGAATGCAGCAATATCTACAGATTGCACAAAGTCTTCAAATTCTTGAATTAATTCAACTAGAGCATCAACTGATACTTTATCATCTTCAACAACACACATAATTTGAAGTTTCTTTATACCAAATGCAATTTCAACCAGTTTGGCTAATAAATAAAAGATGTTGTAATTAATTTAAGTCATATTATAAAAAAACTAGAAATAATTAAAATATATCTACCAAAAAATTAAAAAAAAAACACTAGTTTTCATTTTATTTTCTTCAGATAGTTTGGTATTTATCAATTTTATCTTAATAAAGAACTATCAAATTATAATTTTTAAAAATAATAGTTCTTATGCTTCATAGTCCTTCAATTATACTAAAATGTTCACAACAATTTATAACTTACAAGCTCCCCAAACAAGGCCGTCCATTTGTATCGTTCTTACACATTCTTCTAATTTTTTCATATCTGTTTCATCATCCCAAGGTTTAACATCCAATACTATACTACTTTTAGCAATAACAACTTTTTTGGTTGCTTTTTTTTCACTGTAAGCTTTAAGCCTTTCTTGTCTAATACGTTCTGCTTCTTCATCCTAATTGTAGAAAATAAAATTCAACATTTGAATAAGTTGATATTCTTCAGAATTGAATCAAGTTCTGGTTACAAAACATGTCATAAGGGTGTATCATAAGATATTGAAAAATTAATATATTTTTTAGTAAATATCTATGCTATAAATTGGTAAGATACTGAAGATATTTTAATAGAGGATGGTCAAAAATATATTTTAAATGAGGAAAAGAGAAATATGTGTGATAGGGGTTAAAATTTATTGCAGGCGTTTCTAGTGTAATAAAAAATGAATTGATCATAGTTTCCATGGAGGTTGTAGGAGCTTTAGTCTTCATAAAAAAAATTGTAGCTCTGAATATATTAAATTATTGAAATGGGTGGGAGATGATAAAGCAGTAGTTTATGGAATCACCTCAAAGGGTACACACTTATATAGTAAATTTATATATATCAGGGTTTAAAGAAACAAAAAGCATAGAAGAACCAAATCTCTATATCATTTTGAACATTTTATACATGGATAAAATTACTAACATTTTAATTATATTTTAAATCATCCTCATTGACCATCGCTAAAAGTTAGAAAACTAAGTCTACTTTTATAACCCTTACTTTAAGTCCTGATTTAAATTTTAATCATAATAAATAATGTAGACATTTTTAAACAATATAGGATATACAGTAAGTAAAAAAAAATGTTCTATTGTTCACAATATTAATAACAATGGAACTGTTTCTTTACTTATTGAATAGCTTATATAGCTATACAATTATAGGTGTTACATGTAAAGGCAAAAACAAATTGTAACCATTAATTTATTAGATTGAATACATATCATTATGTTTTTAATAATATTATTCTTAATTTACTGTACTTTTTATTTATTATAATTCTTGTAGATATAAAAGACAAACTTATTTTTACATCTTCTAACATACTTTAACCTTTTAATTAGCTCAAAACCAATTTTTATTGATGAGCTAAAAAACAATTTCAGAGATCAATTTTTCAACTTTCAGCTTAGAAAAAAAAATTATACTTTAGTTTCGTTGTTCATATTATATAGAATTTCTTGGTGTTAGAAGTACAGTTCAAACTTTAGAGCTATGGTTGTAAACTAAAAAAATGTATGAATAAACAATAGTATAAGAAAGATCTGAAAGGGTTAAGAATTCCTTTCTATAACTGTTTAAATGATACTGTTTAAAAAAAATAGTTAAATTATAACTGACAGGAGAGCATATGCCCCTACCACGAATCAATATATACAAAGTGATTTAGCAAATTTATTGTATTTAATGGACAACTATAATACGTAATATATTACTAAATTTACCTCTTCATCATCAGATCCAAAGAGATCGATATCATCATCATCATCAGCTGGTTTAGAAGAACTTCCTTCTGTTGATGAAAAATCAGCCTTTTTGTTGGGAAATTGTACTTTATCTTTATCAGAAAAAGATTTAATATGATTATACCATCTTAACACATTAGGAGTTTTAGCTTGAGGAGTCTGTATAAGGGCGAAGGTATCTAAATCAGCTTTTGACGGTTCAAAACTAAAAATTTTATATATTATTAAAGAACAAAAAAAAAATTAAGGTTAGGTTCTTACCCAACGATGTAACTTTTAGAACTTAAGTAGTTTTCGAGATATTCAACGCCTTGAGGAGATTTTAAATCAATTGAAGCCATTTTAAAGTAGTTAATGGTAATATAAAATAGATAATTGAACGACTTGTTCAAGCTTTTAAATTATTTTTAATTATTAGAGCTACACGTTACGAACCGTAGATGGAGATAAAAAGATTTATTACAAGCTAAGCTGTATATACATAAGCGGTGTTCTTTAGGTTAAAGTAGTGTTGGCAATAATGTTGATAAGAAAATCAGTTTTAAATTATCATTACTAGATGCCACTTTGAAAAAATGATAGATTAATGGATTCACAGATATAGATAATGAACCAGATAGCTTGCTGGCCTATATTGCTAGTTTTTGCAGGTGAAGCCAAATAGCCGCCATCTTTTTTAAGGCCAACATTTATTTTCCTATACTTCTTGTACAAATTATTTTATTATCAGAGTAAAAAGTTATTGATAACAATAATTTTATATGAAATATAAAGAAAAATATTTAGCTTCACCAGCTAATACAATCAATATAGGTTAGCTAACAATCTAGTTTATTATCTATATCTGTGGTTAGAATCATCAAAGAATAGATAAATTCTTATCTAATCTGTAAAATTTTTTAATCCATGATACTAAATAGTGATAGTATATCGAATATAAATATCGATAACACTAAAATATCAGAAAACGTTTAGTTGCCATTAATTACCGAAATAAAATATTGGTAGCATATATTCATTGATTTTTAACTAAAAAACAATTTGATATTGATATTAATATTTCACAAACTTACTTTTAGAATCTTAAAAATAAAACTATTTTCAATTTTTATAAATTCAAAAAATCTATGAAAAAATTAATTGAACACAATTTACACGAGAAAAGGGAGTGTGATACGATTATATTATGGAATTTCGAAAATATTCGACGAGTAATAAGCTCTAGAGACAAATATATTTTCAGAATACAAAATTTTAAAAATAAAGTGGGGGATCCTGAAAATACATGTAAAATAGTACACGGAAACAAAAATATTGCGGCCAATAAAAATATATTTGATATTAAAATAATAGCACATAAATATTTAAATAAATGCAGATCAATTACACACAATAAAATTCAATACAGCAGTAGAATTTGTGATTGCATGAAAAAGTTCTGCAAATTAAATTTTTTACTTTATAAACATTTCAGGGGGATTGAACCCCAACGCCACTAAATACAACCTTCAGTTTAAATCGTAATTGAAGAACTTTTTTATTAAGGAAAAAAGCGTTTACTTTAATAAGTCTTATGAAGTTGAAAATTATTAAGCATTAATTCTTAACTAGTTTAACGCGAGGTAAGATAGTGAGGCTTCAACGATTTTTCATGACTTTTGTAATTGTATTTAAAATCTAAAATTTGTATAAGGACTATTTCTATATTTAGCCTAACACTACAATTTTTCAAATCGTCTTATTCAACGTATAAGGAGCGAAATATGAGTTTTCTTGAATATTGTTATTTTTGTCATTTTTTCCTAGTTTTGAGTTAATATAACGAAAACATCTGTAAAACTTTGTAATTAATACACTAGGGTAAAAAAAATGGGTCGATTATTTATTAATAGCTATTAAATAATACTTAGAATATAATACTAGAATATTTAAGTAAGAAATTTGAACATTTTTCTTATGAACACTAATACCTGAAATTTTGAAACATTTTATCAAAACACGCTAACTATGAATTTTTAACCAAAACTAATATATACGTGAACGCATGTATGCTAATAGAAGTGAGTTAAAAAATGGTATTGTAAGTCATTTATATTTAGATGTTCAGCAAAATGTGATTTTGAGAAATACTGAATTTGCCATCTTACGCTAAATTAATTTATATACAAAATGGAACAGATTTTATTAACTAATAAATCTTGTAACTTTTGATTAAATAATAATTTTTTTTCTAATCACTATTGATCGGGGTCGGATTTAGACCTATGGAAAATATCGTATTATAAAATTAATTAACAAAAAAAAAAAAAATATCAGAAAAATTATCACTAATTATGACAATCTAACAAAATTTGTGATGGGTCACGATGCGTTCGTTCCCTCTTAATTCAGGCTTGCTTTTTGTTAAATTCAAATAAATATGAATTTTTAGTATATTTCAAAGTTAAAATTATACAAATTTAGTTATTATACACAAATATATTTAATAAATATTTATCTTTTACTACTGGTTTTAATGAAAAATATTTAAATTATTTATCTAGAAAACTTTTAAAATTAATTTTAACGTAGGTTTTTAATTCTCTACAATACTAAAACCTATTGTTGAATATAATAGGATAGTAAAAAAAAGTATTTACTTCAAAACAACAATAAAATATACCAAACATTTATCTAATTACTCAAAAGAATTCAACTGTCATAAAATGTCTGTTTTATTTTATATTATATATTAATTCATCTAAGACAAAGAATTTCATCTTTAATGTGTTATTGATGATTTTATAATTTAGTTGTAAGAATAAGATTTAAACTAAATTCTCTTTAATAAGAAAACATAATTTGTGTCTCTACAGCAATTAATTCGTAAAAGTTTATACACATGAACCTTACTTAGGTTTGAATGGATTGAGTTTCATTTTATTATTGGAGACAAATATTAAAAAATATACTTTGGCATAGCCCAAAATAGAAAAAAGTATTTCAAAAAACCAAATAAAATATTAGCTGTACTAAGTTATGAAAGATGTTAGAACACAGTATAATTTAATAATAAAATTTTATATAGATTTATTTCGATTTTTCCAATTAATGTAAACGCTATAAATTAACTATAATCAATTAATATATTATATATTGGATATTGATAGTTAAATTATATTTGAATTATTATATAAATTTAATTGTCACAAATACTTCTCTTACTAATTTTATAGGGTAGCTTACTTAGAAATTATAAAAAAATAAATAAGTATACTATTATATTTTTTGCAAAATTTTCATACAAAAGTGAAGCCACTCAATTTTTTCTAAAAACTTAATGATAACTGGTTAAAATTTCTCATAGTTTTATGGTCTCAAGTGTTATTAGATATATACCGATAAAACATAACTACTAACCAATTATAGGAAAAATAAAAATATTTTGCAAAGAATAAGGACTATTAAGTAATGTTATATAACATAATTTTTCTATCTTTATTAATAATTAAACTACCTATACAAATTTAACCTTAAAACAAAATTTATTTTTAATAAATGGAGGAGGATACATCTCATCACAAATTAACCATTTATACAAGCCACAATAAATAAATATCATTTAGATTTTATATCTAAAATCTATTAAAATGAATAAATTGTTTACATTAGTAATGTGACAAATCCTTCAAGATCCAAAGTCAGCAATATTTTTATTTTATCCAATAAAGTTTTCACAGTACTTTTTTTTAATAAAAAAGTAAAAAAAAAATATATATTTATTTGACAATTTGAATAAGCCAAAATAAAAAAATTAGTTAAAAAACACTCATTTTTATTTTATTAGCTTTTGTTGAGTTTAACGATTATAACCCCTTGGTATCTTTCAAGATGCTCTAGGATTTTTTTTATTTAGATATACATGATTGTATACAATAAGACATTACAAAAATAATTAAAACTACAACACTTATTTTACACACACTTTAACTGACTATAATCAATGTATTTTGTTTTGGAAGTTAAATAGAGCATTATTAATGGTATATTTGTAGATCTTTTATACATATGATATAAATTGTAGGTTATATTCTTGACTTGATGATAACACAATATAAAGACCACATTACACAGAAATTGTTTTTATTATTATTTGGTAACTGGCATATTATAAGTTATATGTTAATAATTTAAAGTTAAATAAAATAAATTGAAATTTAAATGAAAGGAATTTATGAAAATTACTAGAAAAATAATTTTTGAAACTTTTAAGCAATACAATAAAAAATATATCAATTGATAATGGTAATCAATTCATAATATTAGAATTGAAAATAAAAATAAGGGGTTTTAAAATATTAATATTTTAAAATGCATACAAATTTCTGAGCATAAATTCACGATGTAAGTAGTTATATTGTCCTTAAAATATTACCTATGAATTGTTTTATTAATAATTAAAAAATAAATAAATAAAATAAATAATAATTAAAAACTATATTATAATTATTTTTGGGTAGGTTAAGGCAGTTTTATAAAATGCCACCAGCACATGTATCTATTACACTTTTATCCCGAAAAGTAATTAAAATTTAAATACTAAAGAAACACCATCATATTTTTAATTTGTTCTCTATATTATGAGACACTTACATAATCAATATTGAACTTTATGACAAAGTGATAAGTAAAAAAAAAAATATATATATATATATAGGCATTTATGAATAAAATAAAATTTCAAAATCATACTATGTAAGTATTTTTCCAATAGTGTGATCTTTTACCAGATTTGTTGGAAATTGAAAGTGTTGATCTTTTTGAGGTTGTACAGGGCAAAAAAAGAATGTTTAACTGATGACGGGTGGACAGGCAACATACTTAGAAATAACCATCACATTGCATATTTACGGGTCCATTCTCTGGCCAATTCATTATACTTTTCTCTGTCTGTTTTATATATCCTAGCTATTTCAGGCACAAGAGGATCATCAGGATTTGGATCACATAACAACGAGCAAATTGACAGCAAAACTAAAATATATTTTTGAACATTTTTTTTAAATTTGTTTCATAATTGAATTTAACTTTAATTACCTTTAGATATGGTCAAAGCAGGTGACCATTGAGACCGTAGAATATCAAGACAAATGCTTCCATTACTATTTATGTTCGGATGGTAAATTCTAGTTGTGAATGCAACCTAAAATATACTTTATTATTATTGTTTATTTATACTTTATGAAGAGTAAAACAATAAAAGTTTTCAATTTAAAATTATATATTTGATAAATATTAAAATACTAAACATTTTTTAAAGAGTTAAATGTAAATTAAACATTTTTTAGCGATACAAAAAATGTAAGGCAGATGGTGCCTACAACAATTGGAGGAGCTCACTATTATTTAAATTAGAATAAGGAGAAGGTGAAGGTACTACTTGCAATGGGTCCGCAGCTTAATAGTTGTAGCACTACTAGTAGATAGTAAAAATTGTATCCAATTTTACATATAATTTCGATTAAGTAATTTGTAAGTAAAACTATAATGATTGTTGACTGGTCACCTGTTAAAGGGCTATAGTAGATCAGCAATAGATTAAAATTAAAATTTATTATAAATTAATGTCATTTTTTGCTCCTAATAAGTTTAAAAATGTTGTTCTTATTAAAAGAAAAAAGGCAAACAATTTTTGTGATATTTTTATATGAAAAGAAGGACTTAGGATTACTTACATATGAAAATTTATAATACCATAAACGAGGACAGACCTTACATTCACTATTATTTAAAGAATTAAGTACTTGCCTTTGGAGGTTTAAATGGATAATCCGTAGGAAAGTGAATAGTTAAGAAAAACACTCCACCTTGATATGGACTATCAGGCTAAAACATATTAAAATACATTAATACATTAAGCATTTAAAAAATAATACACTATACTAATTAAAACACTGGAAAAAATTATTATAAGTGAAATTTTGTTTTTTCATCCTAATTACTAAAAACCTTTATCAAAAATTGAATAAAACTATCAATTAAAGATATAAAATCTATTTTATTAGTTTGTCAAAACTAAATATGATAATTAACTTTGAATTGTAAAATGTTGGATATAACTCTGTTCTAATATAAAGGATAATCAGTTTATCATATACCACTCGATTTTAAAATATAAAATCATAACACATATTATGGTATGGCTAGAGATGAGATGCTGATATTATTTTTAACACTTGTCATTTCCAGATCGTACTCTTCTTTCCATCTAGATATAAAAATGAAAATAACTTTCAAAGTACAGGTCTAAAAGTAGTTATTAACCAGTCATTTTCTAATTTAATCTAATTAAATATGTATTTTGCCATTTGAAAAAATTATTGTTGACACCCCTATATGTTTTAAGGGATGATTCTAAAAAGTAATTAATAGCTGACAAATCAAGAAATATATGAAACTAAAAACAAGTGTATATAAAGAGTACACATGAATGAAGTGAAACTTCTTTTAGTCATTCAATTGATAGAATATTACAATAAAATAACAAATACAGCACTTAAAAATTTTGTTATTAATTGATATTAATTTAATTTATTATTATTAATTTTCTTATTCTATTGTTTTTGATTGGATGTTATGAAGATATTATACGAAATTACACCTATTGTAATTTATTTTAAATTTATTATGCACAATAAAATTACTTTATAGAAAATTTAGTGCTAAATTATAATATAAAATATACATTATTATTTATTCATATAAGTATATTTAGATGTTGTGTATATTTATATATATATTAATACAAACACAATACTAATTATGGATAATATTTATTATTTACTTACTTATAAATTCAATTAAGAAAAAATAAAATATGTTATAAACATTTTCCATATTTATTTATATATAACTTAATAAAATAAATTATATTTAATCATTACTTTTATTAATTATTGACAATTTACTTATTTCAACAAATAACAAATAAATAAAAATAAATGAATATAAAAAATAAACATCTAAATTTATTTTTCTTAATAAGAATAATAATATAAGTAATGAATTATATTTTATATTATCATTTAATTATATTACCTTATTTTAATATACTCGGATATATAAAAATATAAATAAACAATAATTAATTTTTTTTTATCTTTGTAGGCCCATTTAGGCCATAGTGACCTCAAAGAGATTTTCTTAACTATTGATACTCCAGGATGGGTTAATTGTCTATCCCCAGAGAGATAATTGGGTAATCTAATAACCAAACTAGTCTCTTGCTCGGTACATGAGGCTGCCCATGACTGAGTTTTGAAAAACTTAAATAAATATATTTATTATTTATATTAATTATACATACATATTTATTTTAATTATTATAATTACAAAAATAGATTTAATTAAATTATAATATAAAATTTATGTAGCACTTTATTTTCAAAAATTAAAGTATTGTAGTTTAAATCTCATTTAAAATGTATGAAAGTGTTCATTTCTTTTAGAATTTATATAATTAAATTAATTATATAACTTGAGAAAATTTTTTAATTAAAATAGACAATAAAATTTTTAAATTCACATCAAGTGAATTATATTTACAGATTATAAATTTATATCTATTAGTAATGAATTATTATTAAAAAATACTATATTAATAACAAATAATATTTTCATATTATAACTCAATGAATTTAAAATTCATAATATATATTTATATTATTACAATAGCAAACTAATGTTAAACATGAACATTTTTTTTTTGAATGCATATATTTTATTGAACTGACATGTTCATCAAATAATGAAATTTTGATATAATATTTATGTAATATTAGAATATGTTCCTGATAGCCAAACGTGACAATCAAACGTTAACCAAGATGCACAATTTTTTTTTCAAACATTTTGCTATAAAGAGTTTTACTATGAAAAAACAATATTTTTTTCAATATTGTATTTATTTTGCGATAAATCTCGTGATTTAGTATAATCCAATCACCTAGTATATTAAAACGGTTATATCCAACTTTATACAACTCAAAGTTAATTATCACATTTTATATTTACAAATTACATGGAAACTATCTGTTATAAAACTATTTAAACTAAATTCCGTGTAGTATATGTAGGTAACAATTTAAATTTAAATTTAAACTTTTAAATTTAAAGACATAATTTTAAAGCTACTATTAATTAAATAAAATATATAATATGATAGAATTTCGTTAAATCAAAACTATTTGACTGCCATATTTAAATTGTTTTAGTCATAAGATTGAAATATATTTTGATTATTAAATGAATGTATAAATCCAACAGTAATATTTACTAGTTTAACATAAGATAAACACAATATTTCTTTTTATTAAAATAATACTTAAGGTTAACTTACTGGTCCCATAATAGTAGCTTGCCAGTGAAATACTAAAAAAAAAAACTTACTCATATCATTTGTCATTTAAACTATACTATTTATACTTACAATCATCACCAACTGGTCCTGCAGAACATTGTGCTGGTGGGTCTCTGCCTAAGTCTTGAAGTTCCTAAAAATTATTGAAGTACCAGTTTGATTATAATCATATACATTCATAAAAATTCCAAGTCATAATAATTAAATCAATGTTTGTTTAAGATAACAAGATTCTACTTTTCCAATAGAATATTGAATATAATTTCAAGATAAGCATGCGTAAAACAAAATTCTCATTAAATTAATACTAGTTGCAATAAAAATTGTATCAACAGTAAAAATTTATATTATTTTTATCTAATAATGCTAACTGAAAAATAATACCTATTATAAACAAACAATACAATAATTGTGTATTATTTTTAACTATAAAACTAAATAGTAAAATACTTTTTCAAAAATGATCTTTATAATAAAATTCTAAAATAGTTACTTAACTAATTTAAGAATATTTCAATATAAATATCATATAACTTATATACATTTGTACAAAAATTTTTTTTGAAAAATTAAATGATACAGTATAGTAAACTTTTAAATATCAAGGATAATTTATTCTAAATTAAAAATAAAATACTAAATTTTAAATTTAATTGTTTGTGAACTTTACTATGCAATCATATATTTAAAAATTATTTTAATGAAAAACTGAGGAATGTTTTAATCTTATAAGACATAGTTATATTTTATAACTATAAATGAAGTTTCACTGGATAACATTTTTTCAATCATAATTCACATTAATTAAACTATATTAAATAATTTTAATAATACTGATATTGAAAAACTTAAATGACACCAGAAAAATAAAACCTAATGTTATCAAAATATTTACTTAAAGGAACAACAAATATCACAAAATTGTTAAGATATTTAGTTCATTTTAATAGATGAAAAAATTTAATATTTAGAATAGGTTTATAACTTGCTTATTTAATATTAATACTTTAGGAAATCAAAAAAAAAATTGTATAGTAGGTCAAGACCACTGTCACTCGATCAGAAACTATGAATATTATAGATAATATTTTTTAAAAAGGTAAATTAACTATCATTTTATTACCTCACATTGGATAATACGACTTTTTAGTGACATGCGGAAATATTAAGTCAACAGTTCATAGTATGCGTGCGACAAAAAATCGCACACACCAAAAATGAACGGAATCATCAATTCAAAGCATGTTTGTTCACTTACCTTATTGATTCGCTTCAATGCCATTATATGACAATTGTGTTATATATATTTTATATTATATTAAATTTAACACCCAAAAGGAATAAAAAAAATTATAATATTTTTAAATAATGCTGGCGAGATTCGATTCCACCAGCAACGCACACACGAATTATTGTAGTATTAAGAGTATTGGTGTGTGTATATGTGTGTGTGTATATATACGTGTATGTGCTTTTGTGTGCGGGTTATCAGAAAAGGACGGGAGAGTGTAAAGCAGTTGTATTGGGGAACACAGATACACAAAATGGCGGCCGAGAAGTCCCCGTTTGCGGTACCGCAATACCTAACTATTGCTAAACCATAAATACACATTCGCGCGCGCGCATTAAGGGACGGCAACCGATCTGGACGACACTTATTCCCACCAAATGGTTTTTCCACAGATAAGGATGTTCACTAAACGCAGTCGACACTTGTACCCCTAATAATACTTATGTTATCTATTCCGCATCTGTACAGTATTATAATTGTATAAGATTAATGAATAAGTCAAACTGCTTACAATATTAAAACTAGGCTGCAAACAGCTAGTCTCGTGTCGTTTTGGCTGATTAGATAATGTTTCTTACATATTTTTATGTTATAATTATCATTTTTTTATAAACGCAATAATTTGGATATTGATATTAAAGAACTGCGATTATACGCAAGTCTCAAAAAGGAAATGTCGGTATTTGGTTATCCGTGATTGAGTAACGTTGGAGACTACACTCTATACCGTTTAAATATATCTTATATTTAGATTAAACAATATATTGAAAATATGTTGTTAAATGTTAACTAAGAAACTTTAAAACTCATTGGTATTTTTTGTTATAATCTGCAAAATTATTTGTCGTAAAACAACATAATTAGACTTAAATCTTATTATTATTTATATGGAATTAAAAGTACGTAATGAATTTGTAGTATATAAAATTATTGCTCAATGAATTGTACTTGAATTTTTTTAAATGCTTTTCTAATTTAACATTGATTATTATTTATAAAATAAACCAAATATTTCTTAAATTAATAGTTTCCGAATTATTTTGTAAAATTATGAAGACTTTTTTTTGTCGAGGACTATTAAAATTGTTTAATAATAATCCTTATATGAATCTTATTTCTTAGAAATAGTGAATATTCAAAACTATAAAATTATTTTTATTTTTAAACAATTTACATTGGTCCATTAACCGCTCGAGTAGATAATAAAACCAAGTTTTCAGCCTAATGATATAACTTTGTATCATTAATACTTTTGACTTGCATCTTAAGAGTAAAAATGTGAAATTACTGTTTAAATTGTGCAAATAGACTAAAATAAAATTTATTTGCTTAATAACAAAATTTAAAAATAATATCCAAAATTAATTTTTTTTTTTCCAAAATGTATATAGGTTATGAATAAAACTAAATTACTATTATTGGTATAAATTAATTAATCCAAATAGCAAAAACTGCAGTTTTTTGGGGAATGAATTAAAGGAGGAATAATTTTATTTTTAAAGGGACTGTATGGCCTTTATCAGTAACGTGGCAATTCTTATTACACTCTGTCTCGGGTTTGAAATTCAGTCATAAGTAGCTCTATTTGCCAAGTGAAAAATGAGTTCAGTATTTGGAGTTACCATTCCATTGAAAACAGACTAATCACCTGTCTCAAAGTATTCATGGTTAATAAGCTCCTCTTTGGATATCCCTTAATTAACTACTAAAACATAAAAAAATTTATTTTATGGTTTTTCATAAAAACCACAATTTGTCTTCATGTTATATTAATAAATTAGTGACAAATACATTTTATTAAGTTAAAATTTAATACTCAATTTTTTTTTTAATTTTAAGTACTTAACCAAATTTAATTTTATTTACATTATAATTACATGTATAATAACCTAGAATTAAGAAAGATATTTATGATTACAAATTAAAACAATTTAATTAAAATAAATATGATAATTTTAAATTAAAAACTACATCATATATATATATATATAGAAAAAATTTTTGAAAATTATTGAGTTAAGAGAATATAAAAATTGTATTAATGTTTTAATGGAACAAAATTATAAATTTTTTTTTTTTTGAAATGAAAATTTACTGAATTTGTAAATTAATATTATTTTTCACAAACAATAAATTATAATAAAATAAAATTTTTATACAATATGAAATTGCTGAATTGAGTCTGGATAGTAGATTACTGAATCACTTTGGCTATTTTGTCCAAATATTTTAGAATAATTTGCATCGTTGGCTAAAAAAAAAAATTGAAATACTTTGTTGATATACCTAAAATATCTATGTAAGTAATAAACACTTATTAACTTACAAAAAACATCATCTGATAATTCTTCAATTCCTATTGATTTATCTCCTTTTGTTACCTAAAATTAGATAAAAAAATATTTTACTTAGAAAATAAGTATCGAGTAAAACATCAGATAGTCAACTAAAAGATTTTTCAGGGGATGATACCCTCAAATTATTTTTATGGCCTTTTTTTTCTTTAAAAGCTACTAAAAATTAAATGTTTGAAGAAAAATAAAAACAGAAAAAATTTTATTATCCTCTCTAATCAAAACTACAAATTTTTTTTTGAAAAAGCTTCAATGTTTGTGAAATTATAAAATGTGAGTTATGTATTCTTTTTTATTACTTAAATTTTTTTTAATAAAATTATTGACAATTATATTAAAGAAATACATAATTAGATACAAATTTTTACACAATTTTGTTAAATTCCTAAATTACATAAAATTTTTAATGCTAATATTATTAAATTTTACCTCTCGGTATTTTTGTAAATATAATTTTAATGGTTCAACATAATTGTCAAATCCTAAATTGGACATAGCATATAATATATCTTCTCCATTAATAGTTTTTCGTTTTTCCTGGTAGCATCTATCACTGGCTTCACTAGTGATGAAACTTATGAACTCTGAAACACATTCTTGAACACATTCGCGAGCATCTTTAGCAATCTAAGTATTTTCCATAAAAGATATACATGAATATATGTTAATTATTCAGGAATAAATTAATAATTACCTTGCCACCATCAGGGATAGATTTTTTCATTATTTTTGCAATGTTAGCTATAGGTAAAAATCTATCCTGCTCTCTAAGTGGCTTACCAAATTTCAACTCGTATACTTCTCCTTGGTTTGAAGAATCATCAGTGTTGTCTAAAGTAACCATTTCAACTCCATCTTGGCCCTCTTGACCTGTTAAAATAGTAAAATATATTGCTTCATCATTATGTTTTTTCCTTATAAATCAATTTTTGAGGTTTTCCAAAATAATTTTATTTATTTCTGTTTTTATTAATATTGTAGTATTGATTACAATATTTCATTTAACATTTTCTAAATTTAAAATAAAATTATATGACCTATAATCAAAAACCATCCATCTACATAGAAACAGAAAGTAATCAATTGAAGAGATTCATTATGTAATTTTCTAAAAATATGCTTCAATTCTTAAAATGTGAATAGTCTCAGTTGTATTTTAATATTATCATTATGTCTATATTGTGTTTTAATACTTATCAATATGTAACAGTTTCCAAATGTAAAGGTTTTAAACTGGATTTCTGATTAACTATACTAGTGATCTAATAAAAATTTTCTTAAAGAAGTCTTAGACAAGAGCTTAATCTATAATTTAAATTTCAATAACCTATCTCAAGGAAACAACAACATTTGCAGTTTTTAAAAACCAGATGAATAATTTCAAGTAAAAATATTATTCCGTTATTAGAGCTTGGGCCGTACATATCCAATTGTTTTATTCTCCATATTGTTATTTATGAAGAAAAATTTCTATGTGCAAAATTCTTGTTTCAATACTTTTAATAGATTCAGACAAAAATTATGTTATACATAAAAAAACTTATTTGATATCTTTCATGTGATAAATAAAATAAAAATATAATTAATGTTAATACTAAAGTAATTAGTATTTCAATTTGTTAATAATATCTTCTGATAAATAAATATTTTACACAAAGAAAATGTTTTCAATGAACCATAATATAATTCCAAGTGTAAAATTATTTGTTTTTCATGATTTTTTTATATTATTTGTTACAATTATAATTTAATATTTTCTATCAAATAGATTTATTAATTTCAGCCTAACTCAATTTTTTTTTTTAATTCGAAATGTGACATAAAATGAAAAAGTAATAAAAATAGAAACACACTAAACTATAAACAAGCTACATTGTCTGTACCAGTTGAAGGTATAACAATTAAATTGAAAGTAGTGTTAATAAATGTTTATTTAAAAACAATTTTTTTTTTTTAATTTTTAAAATGTTTACCTCGAGATAAAAAATTTTGAGCATCTTCTGTGAGAAATTCTTCCCCTAAATCATCGCTATCGCTGCTATTCATTTCTTATTTATAATTGTAAAAATTAAAACACTACAAAGAGTTAAGGTAACAGGTTAAGTTTATAATTAATTTTTATAAAATCTTTTTAGAATCCAATCATCTTAAAATGTATTTTTGTAAAATTTAAGAAACAGCCAAATTAATTTTTTTTGAGGATTACAAATAAATTATTCAATTATTAATGTATCAAGTATAAATAATCTAAGTATGTATTATCATTATCGAAGTATGTATCAGGTTAACCAACGTAATATAATGTTTATAATGTATGAAGATCACACAGACATATTATATTTGAGTTGTCCTCATAAATTGTAACAATATGTCTTTTTGTTATATCAAAACTAGATTTTTAGGCTTTCAATGCTAGGTGGTTAAACTAATATAGCCACTATTTTAAGACTGCTCTGAATTTTTTATGTTAAATAGTTTGATATCATTTGTGTTTTTCTTATCATAGGCGATGAAATCTCATTTAAGTGATTAAATTTTCTATTATCAGTGATTTTATATAATTTGAACTCAGATAAGATGAAACAGATATGTTTTATCTTATCTGTGAATTCACTTTCTTAAAAAAGGTGAACGCTGACTTTTTTTTTATTACTATTTAGCAATTTAGTTATAACCCATAGAGTAATATCAGGCTATGGATATTAGAGATGGGAATTATGATTCACCTTAGTGATCCGATTCATTCGAATCAGGTCAACTAGAAGATCCCGTTCGCGATCTAAATGATATTTTGAGTCAAATGAATCGAACATTCAGTATAGTTTTGATTCTTTTGCGGTTCTCGATTCGCGATACGGATTAGGGATGTGTCGTATAAACAAATGACATGAATATGTTATCATTGATATTTGGTAAGCAATCAAATCGGTTCAGTGTGATTTATACGGGAAAAAATTAGTTTTGGGGGGATCCGGATCACTACGGTTCGGCGATCTGAATCATTTCGTTCACTATTTTGACCGGTTCAATGCGATCCGTTCGTTCGCGAACGACTCATCTCTAATGGATATTTTGATATTTAAACAAAATGTAGCAGCCTTTTTATTGTAGGTATTGGTATTATCATTTTGTTGTCATGAAGAGAACTAATACCGGTTGAGTGAAAATATATATTATAACAATTTTACTTTTAATCATTTTATTTCATTAACTTTCCATCTTTTATATAATAATTAATAGAATGGTTTATATCTGCATTGTAAAAGACTGCATTAACTCGAGAATTTCTACCAAAAATGATGATTGTAAAATACCAAAGGATTTTCCTCGGTTAGTTTTTTTTATTATAAATTAATTAAAATAATATTTGTATCTTAGAAAATCTTAAATTTATTGAATAATTATAAAAAATGGTTACAAAATTGCAACAAAAATGATTTGTTAGACATATCAATTGATACATTGAATAAGTATTATATGGTTTGTAATGTTCATTTCAAACTTAATATGTTTTCTAATCCAGAAAATTTTTTCAAACAGTCTAAGGGCTTAAATTTTCTGAATGACTTAGATGAAATTATAACTAATTAAAGTAATGTTGCTCCTCCATTAAACAGTCTTATTGCGTTTAATCCTGAGAAAACTTATAATTTTAAAAACTTTAAAATTGGTATGGTTGATTACCTTGATTTAAGTTTTCCTGCTACAAATGCCTTTATGTGGTTATCTAGTTAAGAAATCACTAGAAAAACATAATTGTGGTATATGTATAAGTGATGTTAAATCTCAAAATCAGTTAGATGAATCCTTTTTAACACGCTTATATTAGTTTCACTTGTATGTGTGATGTGTGTTTATAACTTTCCACGCGGCACGTGTTATTCTCGCGTATCCCGTCGTCTAGACTAGACGTCGTAACGCATTCACCCCACCCCGCTCACCAATCACCGACAACACTAATTTTGTATTATATTATATTTTTGGTTTTTGTACCCGTACACGCGTGCCTGTCATTAATTATATAAATAAAATATAATCAAATTTTTATTTTGTGACTGACCAATACTGCCGTGCTAAGCGAAAACAGGATAACTCCAGTCAACATGATTTTTCAGGAACACAAAAAAACATTTTTAATAGTAAATCAAGATACCCTTTTTACCCAATGTATAAAAATAATTCATAAGACGGTAACTCCACTATTTTTTATGTGATATACCAAGTTTTTGCTCAGTATTTGGATTTACCGTTTTTTCGCTTACAAAACATCAAATATATTGGACTTGCCGTATATTTTCTTATTTTATATTTCAATTTTAGATGGGTTTTAATAGGAGATATGCTATTTTTACATCAAAAATCGATGTAAAACCACTAAATTTACCTAAAGAAACAAAAAAAATTTTTTTTTTAATTTTGGAGTTATCCTGTTTTTGCTTAGCACGGCAGAATACCACCCGCGTCTAATGCGCCTTACGTATATATATTTATATATTCCTACCGCCGTTTATACCTTAGGTATAACGTTCCCCCCGCCCACAAAACAAAGCTATACCTAGTGCATGATACGTTTACGTACTTATGTCGCCTTACTATATATATGTATGTATGTATGTATATATATATATATATATGAAGAGTGAATGTGTCAAACGTTCTATGTGCCAAAAACATATTTGTTCAGAAAACAGAAAAAACGATGGTAACATGGGCATGTCTCACATAACGAACACCATCTATGAATGCAATTTTGTACAAGTAAAAAATTTAATTGACATTTGAAACACATACAAGATTGTGGCCTTTGGCACATAGAACATAAATCAGAAATAAAACAATTTTTCACTTTTTTGGCACATAGAACGTTTGACACATTCACTCTTCATATATATATATATATATATTCCTACAGCTGCCGCATATGCCTTGCGTACAACGTTCCTCCGCGCCTATCGTATGTTAAGTCGCTTTACATGTATATATACATATTCTAATTACTATTAAAAATATGTATTAACACGTTTTATTCTCATTAAGAGATATAGAGTGTATTCATTCAGATTATAAAGGATAATTCCCGTATCGTCGTATTTTCGTCACTACCTCCATGTTCCAGGACTGGGTAATTTACGCGCCTGCTGCTTTCCTTGGATGTGATAGCCATTTCTCAGACTCCCTCCCCGGAATCGAACCCTGATTTCCCGTTACCCGCTACAACCATGATACTGATAGTAACTACTATAATAACATAAAAATAAAAAGTAAAAAATAAATATAGTTTAAAAAAACTAAAAAAACACGCTTTTAAAGCACATTGAAATAAAAATTATTTTTAACTTTTTAGTTCGATGTGCTTTAAAGCGTGTTTTTTTAAACTATATTTATTTTTTACATATTTTAAGGCTTACCATAATGAAAATTTATCCACTTATGGAAATTTTAATACTCCACCTGATGTATTTGTAAATTATATTAGTAAATTAGATAATATTTTTATAGAAGAATTTCCAATAATTTCTGTAAACAATAATGTAGGAAAAGAAATAAGTAATTTAATAAATAATATTCCCTCTAAACATCCTTGTCCAAATTTTGATTATGATTTTTTAAAAAACCTTTACATAAGATTTAGAATATATAGATCTTTAAAATTTTTTAACAAAAATATTTTATCAAAACAATTATAAAAAATTTATTAATAAAATACATTTACATGTTTTAGATTATTTGAAAAAGTTTTAATTTATTAATTGTTTAATGATTGTATAATTTATGTGATGAATGTGTATAATGATTTTGAAACAGTATTATTATGTTAATTGATTCCTTTTTGTTTTTAGCTTCTATGCAAAGCTAAGAAGATATTCATTAAACTATAATGTATTTTATAAAATAATTTATTCAAAATTAATGAAAAACTTTAGAAAATTTTATATGCAATATTTATAAAATGTGTAATACAATTGAACACAAATCGTTATTTTTAGTGTTTTTATTTAATTAATTTGAGTTATCGTATTATTATTTAAATAAAATTATATTATTAGTATTATTATTATATTTATATATATTATTAAATATATTAAATACTTAAATATATATGTAGTGATGTACACGTTCAAAAATATAAAAAAAAACATAAATACCGTAATCAAAATTGTTACTTTACATTTTGAAAAAGGTATACACAATTTTAGTGTAAAAAGTGGTCACATTGATTTACCTACATAAAAATGGTGGACTGATTCTAATCACCTCCCTATATTGACCATGTAATTTTTTATCAGTGTCCATTCTGTTGTAATATTGAGACGACGTTACTCATCTCTGATGTATAACCTTTTTGCCAAAAAATCGAGTCATTCTACTCGGCTTGAGTCACTTTGATTCAGTATTCTCCTCTAGATAGCAGTGCAAAAATTCATGTTTTTAAAAAATTGTCGGTAAATAAATTATTGCAGTTTAAATTGTGTGCATTACTATTTTTTCAATAAATTGTTATTTATTAAAATTTTTAAAATTAATTAAGCCAACTTATTTTTTGTGTGTTCGCATTAGGAATGAAATTACCAAACAAAAGAACATCACATTCCTCAGATTAAAATTTAAAATAACTATTTTTAGTAAATTCCAAAAACATTTTTTTTTAAGAATCCCACCCAATAACACAAATATAGTGTAATTAGTATTCTATATGATTATACAAAATATTATTGTAACTTTTTTTATTTTATATTTTCTACTGACAGTCATATACTTTCTAAATGGAATGTATTCTTATTAGAAAATAAAAAAAAACTATCAAAAAGTTACCAATAATACATTACTTTGCTCTGAACGTTTTCTGCATATAAAAATACTAAATCTTTGTGTAAAACAGTTGTGTGACAATTTCTGTTTGTCGTGTTAAAAGTGTAAGAATATTTTATTCTGTTACTTAAAAAAATGTAATTACCATTAACAATTTTTTTTTATTTGATTAAATAGTAATTTCCTATATTAATGCAATACATAATAATAATAATTACTCATTTAGGATTTGAAGAATAATTTCGGTTGTGTATGCAAAATACATTTTGTTCAATTGTTACATTTATTTTTTCATTTTCTGATTATTTTTATTATTAGGCCAAATTTTATATTATTCTGAGATTGTAGTTATATTAGATAAAACTAGTGCAAAACTCTTTGCTGAATGAAAAATTTTTACAGATAAAGATGATAATACCATTGATTTTAATTTTATTTATGAACTGTTTATATTACAAGAACAAGAATGCTGCTATTTAGCTAATGAACTTAGAAAGAGACACATATATTTTTTTTAAACAAAAATTGAAAGTTAAGCTTGCAACACAGTTACTTAGTCAGTCGGTTTCTAATGTTCTTAGATTTAGTAAACACAATTTAAATACTATGTTATCCCAATCAGAGAAGAATTTTATGTAATGAGTAATTTTTCCAAACAAATAATTATTTATATTGCTGGATTTTTAGTTAGTAAATTAAGTGTCCTGGTGTTTCTGCACTTTTCTTCTAATAAAGAAGACTTTTTACATTCTTCAACATTAGTTGAAAAAATAGAAATGATATCAAGGTGGTTTATGTTACCCAAGTTATGTTGTATGAATATAAAATTTTGAAACAGATTTTGTTTTAAGGAGTCTTGATTATGAAATTTTTTTTTTTTTAATTCGAAGATTGGATAAATGATTATTGATGTTTCTCTCCACTTGTCTCTGTCACTTATAATCATCTTTATCTCCCAGTATGTTCCTATTCCGATATCTTCCATCACCTGCTTTAGAAATGGGGTTCTGGGCCTTCCTCTTCCAAGTTTCCCTTCGATTTTTCCTTCTATTATTGTGGTTATCTATGGACTATTCCTAATTACATGTCCGATCCATGCTTTCCTCCTCAGTCTTAACGTATTCCATTTTCGATTTTTGGGTATTCATTTTCCTGAAAACCTCATCATTTTTTATCTTTTCCGTCCATAAATTTTTAGCTATAAAAATAAAGCTATCAATATGTTATATGTGAAATAATTATGATATAAGGAAAAAAACTATGCAAGTATGAACTTTTAGTGGAATTGCATATTAATTACTTTTTTTTTATCACTATGAAACATTAAATAATAATAATACAAATTGATTGCATACACAATCCATTAATATATGAATGAATATGTAATATTTACCAATTATTAAATTAAAATTATGTTTTAATGAATTGTAATTAATTAAATTTTTACACACTACTAATCATCTACACTATTGGAAAATTGTTATATTAATGTAAAGGAGTCCCAAAAAGGTACATTAATATAATAGAAGATATGTATGATGGCACTTGTACTAGGGTAAAAAGCGTAGGAGGAGTATCAGAAGGTTTTCGAGTAAGAGTAAGAGTGCACCAAGGTTCTGCTTAAGCCCTTACTTATTTTCTATAATGATGGATGAAATTACTAAAGAAATGCAAGGAGAGGTGCCGTGATGCATGTTGTTTGCTAACAATATAGTGTTAATAGGAGAAAATAGGGAGGAAATTAATCAAAGGCTAGAGGCGTGGAGATCAGCTCTCGAAGAAAAGGGTTTAAGAATAAGTAGAAGTAAGACAGAGTATTTAGAGTACGAGTTTGACAAAGGAGAACACGAGATAGGTAAAATGATTAGATCAGTGACAATTAGCGAGAACGTGATTGGAGAGGTGCAAAGTTTTAAGTATTTAGGGTCAGTTGTGCAAAAGACCGGTGATATTGACGAGGATATAAGATACGAGATTAAGCGCAGGTGGGTGAATTGGCAAGAAGCATTTAATAATGCAATAAAATAATTCCAATGAGGCTGAAAGGTAAATTCTACAAGACTGTAGTGAGGTCAGCTATAATGTATGGTTCAGAGTTTTGGGCGGTTGATAAGAAAGTAGAGCAGAGATGAGAATGCTTATATGGATGAGTGGAATGACTAGAAAAGATATAATAAGGAACGAGCATTTAAAAGGGAGTATTGGTATAGCGTCAATCGTGGATAAGATGAGAGAAAATAAACTTAGGTGGATTGGTCATGTTATGAGGAGAGAAAAATCGGAAGCTGTAAGAGCAGTTATAGAAATGAATGTTGAAAGAAGAAGAGGTAGAGGAAGACCAAAAAATAGATGGAGGAGTGCTATATGAGGATATCTCATGTAGGAGATCGTGTCAAGTGGAAGTTTAGGATAAGGGTGGCCGACCTTAAGTAGTTGGGATTAAGGCGAGAAATAGGAAGAAGTTATTAATGTAATTTGCAACCAAAATTCGTTAAATTATCGCTATTAAATGATCGCTGATTTTTCTTTAGTAAATCAGTCTATTGTTGCCTCCATAGTAAAATGAATAAGAAGTATACTCGATCAAATTAGTGCGCATGATAAGCCTAGGGGTAAAATATGTAACCAACAATAAACTCAACGTGACGTCACATGTAAATACATTGCGTTGTATATATTCTATATTAAGGGGTTCTGTCCCGTTATAGTCAAGTATTTTAATGAACTTTTTTTAGTTAATTTCGGTTTTCAATTTCATTTATAATTTTTTTATTATTATTATTAACTTCAACTGTGTTGTAATACATCTTTATTGTATTATCTGCTACACTGTAGTAGTTTATAAACCAAGATTTAATTCGTTGATAAATCTAACCTAAGAAAAACTTTAACTGCATAGTAAAATTTTACTATGTTTAACTGCATATAAATAATTAAATATCAATTTATTGTGTAATTACTTACAGTAAGTATAAGTTGTTACATTATTTATAAAAAATGTAGTTTTAATGATTATTTAATAAATTTTTGAATTTTTTTTTTATTGCTCATTTCTCGTGATGCAAGTTTTTTTATTTATATTCCGTATTCTAAAATATATTTTTGTTCTAATAATGAAGTTTTTGACTTCATCATCCACCAAAAGATTATCTGAATTACATGCTTTTTTAGTTAATTCCAGTACCTCCTTTATTAAGCCTGGAGTTTTTCTAATATCATCTATTAAAAATTTAATCATAGGTATGTAAAAATATTTTATATTAACTGTATTTCTATAAGTACCATTTTCATTTAATTTTTTAAAAATAGTTCCTATGATTTTTCCTAAATTTATTAATGTAGGTGATGGTTGTCGTAATGTTCCAAATTATTTAACCTCTATGCAATCATTAGGTTCATTCAAATTATCTACAAGATTCGGATATTTGTATTCAAATTTAAAAGCTACATATCCCCATTAAATATGTTAGGCTGTCCTCAAATAAATCTGATGGATTATATTTATTATTAGCAGCACACTAAAAAAATATACAATGAAAAGGTACTAGAAATATTGAAATATTATATTATATAATTTTTATATTATAAAAATAAAATAAACATAATCTATATTTCAAGATTATATTATGCTATCTCTCTCATTCACTTAATAAGTAAAATAATTTCTATAAATAATGTTGATTGTTTTTTAAAATTCACATTAATTAATACTCATTCATTTTTTTAGAAAAAAAAAATGCTATGCGCTATGTTTTCCAAAAATGTACCATCTTAACCTAATGTAATATATTTAATATTAATTTCTTAAGTTAATGTGGTGTTAATTCAATGTTAAAACATAAAAAAAAAACACACTTCTGCACACTAGTTAATATAGCTCACGTTTAATTAACGAGGTACAAAATCCTAATTTTTCATTAAAATACAAAAGTTACAACAAAAAAATACATAGAATCTAAAATAAGTATCCACGATTAAATTTATTATAAAATATTATTGAATGCGTTGTTTTAAAGTAATTAATATAATTATGACTTAAAAATTATGTCTATCATATATATTATATCAGAATTATCAATTTAAAAATCGCCCGGTTTTAAAGTGCATTCGGATGCGGTCGTATTTCAACGATCGTATACGAATGCACAAAAACACAAGGCGATGCACTTGCGCGTACTACGACGAAAATGCTGACTGTGATCGAGCATACTTCTTATTCATTTTACTATGCTTGCCTCTATATTACTCTATGTTATAATCACGATAGAAGATAATCGTGATTACATATCAGTGGAAAAATTCCATATTTAGTGGATTTATTGGTAAACGGTCGCCTAAAAATCCGCGATATACAGTTGCCTAATAACTTGAGAATCCATGACATTAGTTCAATTTCAAATTAGAAATTAAAAAAATTTGAAATCCCACTTCAACATGATCTTTTTTGCTTATACCATAGCACCACAGAATAAATAAGATCTTATCTATTCTGCTGTAACCCAACATATTGCAGTTTGTTTATATTATATTAGTATATTAGTATTATATATTTTTTTAAATTTCCAGCCGCTATTGCCTCAATTAAATATCTATCCAAAGATTATATTAGGAACCTAGTTATGTTACTCGTATAGTGATTTAGTTAATATAGTAGGGTCTCGATAATCCGAACGAGATTGGGGTAAGGGGTCGTTCGGATTCCCTATGGCTTAAAAAAAAACATCAATTTTATCGTAATTTAAATTATGAAATTGTATTTTTATCTGTATTAATCGTGTAAAAATTCGTAATTTCAAAAGAATATACAAAATATACAACATATAAAATAAAAATGAATGTATAAAAATATTAATATAATTATGGGTATATGTAATTATGAACCTTACTATTTAAAATATTGATTTATTTTTTTTTTTGTACACTGGTTTCTATTATGGATTGGTATCCTTGTCCCGTAAACGTCTAAGCAACATAAGTTCTTCGCAGCTTTCATCGTTTTGTTCAGCCCACTGTATGGTCGTATTTAACGTTTTACGCTTACCTGGACCATTTTCCGTTTCAATGACAAACTTCTCTATTTTTTCCTTGTTTTTTATCCTGTAATTTTAATGTAACATGCTTACGTGGAGCCATTTTAAGAAAAATACGCTAATAAATGTTACAAATACGCAGTGTAAAGCGATCTTTATGCAGTATGACACTCAACTGACGAATGTATGTAATCGACGTTCATATCTAACGTATCATATCTAAACGACGTACATGTGCGATGTTGGATGTACAAACATAATCGAAAAATTTTATTATCGGAAAATATTATTTATAAATGAATATGTACATATTATAGCAATAAGATAATTCTCAAGCCCGTTCGGACTACCGCGTCTTTCGGATTAGCCTGTGTTCGGATTATTGAGACCCTACTGTACAGACTGAATTTACAGGGACATAGATGGTTCGTTACCATAGATCTTATAAACATGGATAGAACATTAGGAATGTGTTTTCGCGGTCTTGAACTGATAAGAAATTGAGGCCGTTTGTTTACATTTCAATTACGATAAAAGCATAATATACTGTTTTAGCTTCGATGCAAAGCTGGAAAATATTAATTTTACTATGTGTTTTTTTTTTTGTGTCTGTTACCACTCTTTCTCAGCTCTCACCGAACTGATTTCTTTCAACGATACGTCAAAAGATCACAAATCGTATCTAGTCGAAGACATTACCCTCAATAAATAAAAAAATTTTCCTTGTTCCCCATAAATGGGATAAAAAACCGCTAAATTTCGACACTTTTTCAATTTTTTTTACTTAAAACCACCATAACTTTTTTATAAATGACCAAATCAATATAATTTTTTTTATATAGATACGAGAGGTACTTACCTATTATTTTGTATATTTTCTTTATAAATCTGACCCTTTACCTGCCTACAGGGAGGGATTCAAAATGACAACTTTTTCACAAAAAATTTACTTTTTTAACTTAACTTTTGAAAGTGTACCGGAAATACTGACACTTTTATATATATATTAAATTAAAGCTAATGTAATATACTTTTTTTTACAAAAAGAATTTTGTACTTTATTTTTTCTTCATGATGAAAATGACTACCAAATGCTATTTTTGTGTGGAAATTCTCGATTTTATTTTTTACATTTTTAACTTTATAATGCTATAACTTATTGAAAAGTGTATGGATCAATACAATTTTTTTATGAGAAATAATATATATATATACCCCTTTTTCATTCGACATACTTTATCTTAATCAGAATATTAATAAGGAAATAGCAGATCATGTAGTTTGACAGAAATTAAGAATCTCACAAAACTAAGTCCTGATGTTGAGATAATCTGTAATGTAACTGAAAAAATATTTAAACAATACACTAATCAAATCCATTCAAAAAATCCATACAATTTTTATTTAATTCAAGTTAAAACTGAACTATAAAGAAGTTTTAACATATTTTCTAAAGTAACTTGTGGAGATGATGCTTGGTTTGAAAATTACCACAAAAACAATATGATAAATTTAATAGTGTTGAAGTATTTAGATGTTAGAATGTATCACGAAGTTAGAATAAGAGATGAAGAACGCATTAAAGAGCAAAACTAACAAAAACTATTAATTTTAATCACGATTAATTTATGTTCATTACTGTTTTACTATATATTTTATAAGTTTTGGAAAGAATAATTGTTTTAAGTTTTATATAATTATACATTACATAACTTATACTAATTAATAATTACTAACCATTAAAAAATAAAAAGTACATGTTATCATGTAATAATGTAAACAAATAGCCTCAATTTACTATCACCACAGTCTTCACTGATAAAGCATCAATGTCCTATCCATGTTTATAAGATCTATGTTCGTTACTGATTTATTTAAATGTTATCATTATATTATCACACATTCGATTATATTATATTATCATACAATCAACCATATGCTGCAATTATTATATTCTTTATTTCTTAATTTAATTCAATAGATTCAAAATATACTAAATGTGTATCTAATATCTAATATTAAATTAATTATGTAATAAAATGGAACTTAAATAATATATATGCTACAATAATATAAGTTTATAAATTGCAAATAAAACTAAATGCAGGTACAACTTAATTGAATTTTAGTAAAAATATGAATTAATATATTTGTTTAATTTTCCAGACGCAATATTTAATTTTTCAAATTTTGATTCTTCAGAAAAATGTAAGGATTACAACATTAATATTATTGAGTAAAAATTATATTATTCGGGAATGTAATTTACTCAAGAATTATTGGTAAATAATATTTGTATCAACTATGAATTTTATCCAGAGATTTTTTTATTTGAAGAATAAAAATGTTGTAGAGATTTATAAATACTGTACCATCTCAACGAATTCTTTAGATAGTATTCATAAAAATGAAATTGAAAGTCCAAAAGATTATAATCAAGCACCATTAGTATTGAATAATATTGATTTTTCTAACATAAGACCTGCATTACGACCAACATTTAATTTAGCATCATATGTAAATGAATCATCTTCTCTTCAAAAATTAGTTAAACTAGGTGTAGAACTCTATAAATTTGATAATAAACCAGACATAATGTCAACAATACTAAAACTTGACTTTGAGCGTGATATGAAGCAATACATTCAATTTGTATTTGATTGTGGTGTTCCAGCAGATTGTCTTGGAAAATTTTTTACCAAAAATCCTATGATATTTACAGAACACATAGATGACTTAAATACCCGAATTAATTATTTGAAGTACAAAAATTTTACAAAAGAAATGATATCTTTCATTCTTCAAAAGCATCCCAAATGGTTATCACATAGTACAATTGATATTGATGCAAGTCTTGGATTTTTCCAATCACAATTTTATCTTTCTGGAGATGATATACGTAATATTACTGTTAAATTACCTAAACTTATAACATGGTCAAAATCAAATGTTCACTTAATAATATTTTCACTGAATGAAGAAATGGGCTTTAATAGAAGTGAAAGGAAACGATTATTGTTAATTTATCCCAAAATCTATATTATGTCTAAGCATCATTTATTACAAAGATTTATTTATATTCATGAAACTATGGGAATTAACCATGATCGAATTGTACTTGAACCAAAAATATTGTCTTGTCGTTTAAACAGAATCAAACATCGGCATGAATACTTGAAGTATCTGAATAAAGACCAATATAATCCAACTAAACCACAATATGTTTCTTTATCAAATATTTTTGAGGGTACAGATCCAGAGTTTTGTGTTAATATTGCAAAAACTAGTGTAGAAATGTTCAATACATACTTAAAAACAGTTTATTAAAATAAACATGTATTTTTTATCTATAAATTAGTTTATTACTTAAAATTATATATGTTATAAAATATAAAAAATGTTTATTTTATTACAATAATGGTCTCCACAGTTATAAATATTTTGAATTTAACCAAATGAAAGTAGAAAAGCTGATAAGTAATCACAATTTTTTTAATTCATAAATTTATATTTTTTGATAGATAATAATTTTTATGTTAGTGTGATCACCTGATATTTATAATTGAAAATAACAAGTTACTATACAACAACATTCAAACAAGGTATGCTATTCTATATTTATCTTTTATATTATATTACATTGCATATTTTGAAGTTTAAGTATTTTTAGCGCTATTTTAGTACAGAGAATAGTTTTTGGAAAGTCAAAATATTTAATATTTTTTTTTTTTAAACTATTGATATAAGAAAAAATTTTGAGTATAAAACGCATATGAAATCAATTAGGTTGTCTTAATTATTATTCACCGATTTAGATATTAATATTAGTTTTAAAATTATCTATATTATCAGCATAAAAGAGGAAGCGATTATAAAATACAAATTTCTATGAAGTACTATGGTAGCATATTTTCCGTTTAATGTCAATTTGAAAGCACTGTGTTTAAACCACGGACTGTTTTATAACTGTTTAAATAATTTTCAATATTTCCCATGAAGTGTTTTGATATAAAAAAAAACAAAGCTTTTTAATACAGTTAATGTTAGTTTTTCGTACCCTGAACAATGTATTAATAGTAGTTTTAGAATGCATAAATTATAAATGGAATTTTCTGGTAATATCTTCTCACAAGCAGAAAAAATTTTTAACTAGCGTAAAGAGCACATATTACCTACGTCATGTACATAACAGACAATTGCCTGGTTGCTATAACGTACGGCTCGCATGGGATCACATTTTAAATTCCACGGAGCAAGGTATTTTTTTGAAATTTTAAATTTTTAACATTTTAATTTTAATATGAAGTTTAAATATTTTTTCTGAATTTTTATTATACCATGATCGATCTGACCAATCTTTATCTGTACAATTGGTCAGCTCCAAAAAAATATAGACAGACTCATAATCAGGGCTCATAATTTCTAGCATTTGCACTTTATTTCTATAAGTTATAATCCCTGCTTTTAATCATTTAAAAATATTTCCAAAAATCTGTAATTTTTTCATTTTTATGAAGTAAAAAATAAACGCACTAATGTACATCATACCTAAGTGCATACATTGTACTCATGTAATTGCACACCTTAAATATAAAAATATAATTAATATTTTCTTGAATTAATCACTTAACAACATCGTCGCTGATGTTAAATTTTATAAGTACTACATGATAAAAAGTTTACTGAGACACCAACACCCCCAAATTTTTTTATGGCATTTTCTCAACACATGACTTAGATATCTTTTTCAAAATTGCAGACATTCATTAGGATAATCACGTCTCTATTACCAAACATCTTTAATATGTTTTGCACGGCAATACATGTATATAAGGGTCAATGCCACTACTTGATTGTGAGACATAGTAATTTTACTTTCTTTGCGAGAGGCAAATTATGTTCTAAACTATCACAGTCACTCATTTTATTTTTACAGTTATTACTTTTAAATAAAACACTGGCACATGTTTCGAAGTGAACAATAACACTCAGTGGGTGCTCGTGGTGTGGATGCAACTTTAAACATAATATCGCTAGTCATAGGTATAAAAAATTGTCAAATTGAACATAATAAAATAAAATAAAATACACATTATATTTTAAATATCGCAGTAGAAAATAGAAATGAAAATAATAATAGTGATTATACTATCAGCGGCGTAATTATATACAGGCACTATTACATCGACAAATTTTAAGTGTTTTTGAACCCTCAACGAATTATAAAATCAAAATTCAATAAACAGTTTCATTAATACCAAAATATATTTCCAAATATAGATATAGAATTAAGAATTTTCATATGTGTACAAGTGTCTAATTGTAATATAGAAAGATCATTTTCGTATCTCAAACGCGTCTAAAACTATCTTTGATCCACTCAGACTGATACAAAGTTAAATAATATCTCATTTCTCAACACAATAAATTAAATGTTAAACGAGAACTGAATTTCAATGATTTAATTGATTCATTTACGAAAACTAAATAAATCAATTTTATAATTATTAATTATATATTATGTATTACATATGTGTTATTCTACCATTTATGTGTGCTTTTTGTTCTCAACCATATATTACTTTATGTTAGTAATGTAGTACACTAAAAATAATCTTTATTTTATGACTCATTAGTAAACAAAAATTTGCTTGAAATGTATTTTTTAATACTTTTTTTTGATGGGAAGTTAGTAGTATTATGGCGGCAATAGAAAAAATTTACCGCCTCCATAACGTAATGAATGGAAGCAAAATTTGAAATGCTTATAGGCAGAAAATATGTGAATACGCCCCTGTATACTATTATAGCAATCAATAACGACGAGCGTACACGCAGTAAATTCTTCTTTTTATTCTTCTTCTTCCTCGCCTTAATCCCAACCACTTGACACGATCTCCCACATCAGCTGTCCTCATATCCCATTCAATAGCATCCCTCCATCTATTTTTTGGTCTTCCTCTACCTCTTCTTCTTTCAACATTCATTTCTATAACTGCTCTTACAGCTTCCGATTTTTCTCTCCTCATAACATGACCAAACCATCTAAGTTTATTTTCTCTCATCTTATCCACGATTGACGCTATATCTATACTCTCTTTTATATACTCATTTATTATCCTATCTTCTTTAGTCACTCCACTCACTTTTTAGACTCATTGGAATTTTTTTATCACATAAGACCCTAGACGCTTCTCTCCGCTTCACCCACCCGCGCTTAATCTCGTATCTTACATCCTCGTCAATACCACCGGTCTTTTGCACAACTGACCCTAAATACTTAAAACTATTAGTTGCCTCACACAAAATACTGGCTCCATTGTTGACTTACCAGGCATAAATCCAAACTGGTTTTTAGATACCGATGTCTCATTTCTTACTCTTTTATCTATTATCTTTTCCCAAATTTTCATAATATGACTCATAAGCTTTATGCCTCTATAATTTCCACATTCCTGTACATCACCTTTACCTTTAAATATCGGCACCATAATACTATTCCTCCATTCATTTGGAATTTTCCCTTCTAATAAGATTTTATTTAAAAGTTCCTTCAACCACCTTATGCCAACACCGCCTAATATTTTCCATACTTCTACTGATACTTCATCTGGTTCTACTGCTTTATTCTTTTTCATTGATGCCACAGCCACCTATACCTCTTTATCACTAATTAAATCTACCAGTCCCTCATTCCACAAGATATCCTCTAATGTCTCTCTTGGGTACTCCTCATTCAGTAATTTTTCAAAATACTCTATCCATATTTTTTTCACATCATCATCACTCAAGAGTACAACTTTGTTGTTAACACAAAAAAAGTGTTAACTTTTTTCCTCTTCAATACTTCTATTAATTCTCTACTTCTACCACTTAATATTCCAACATTCCAAGTACCTATTCTTATATTGTATCTATCTTTCTCCCTTATACCACGAGTCCAGCCAAGAGCTAAGTGGTGATGTCCCTACACCGTTGACATTACAAGCGTTGGGTAGACCTGTACACATGACTGGTGAAACAGCTACTGCACAAGTGGTCCGGCTGGTATCGAACACTTTATTCCTTAGGCCTTCTCCGTTTTAACTACTTTATTCCCTCTCACCTGTTGTCCCCGCGTACATCTGAGATGAGATAATTCGCCTAAGTTTTGTTCAGGACACCTCATACTATTTGACAAAAATTTTACGCCGGCTGTCGACTTGACGCAACCTCATTAATCGCCTCTTACACTGGCAGAGGAGTTGTGAAAGTATTCTTATCCCCTATCCATAGGGAAAACGCAGTGAATTCTAAAAATAAAATACCAATATAGTAATATAGTAATATTTTAGTATATTACTATATTTACATTACTATATTTGGACGACGCTGTCGGTCGTTCAAAACCCGTTCATAAGATTGCACCTGACCATACCCGCACGCACACAGTATAATCGCTTATATTATATGTTTCTGCATATTACTTGGACAGCGCTGTCGGTCGTCCAAATACTGTTTGTGTGTGCATGCGTACTCTCGTATACTGAGGAAAACAACTTTAATGCTCGCACTCGACAAATGTATTATAACTATTTAATATATAAATTAATTTTATTCTATAAAAATATAGAATTAAGAATATACAATTAATTTTAGTAGGGGGTGCGATCGTCCCGTCGTCCAAACACACAATGCATACGCTATATGTTATATGAGTTCAGAGCGTTGAGATAGAGGGAGAATCGTCGATTCCAGGGCTGAATTAGCATCTTTATAAGCCCCAGGTCGTAACCTTAAGATGGCCCTCCATGGAAAATACAGTACAAAAAAAACAGAAAAACTGTATGTATTTATCATGAAAGACTAGTAAAATTTGTGATTAGTCCTTTGCCCCCCTAATACGGGCTTCACCGAGCCGAATAGAAAGAGAGTTGCCGCGCCAATAGCCGGTCTGATTCGTTTTAAAGTTGTTTCTTATCGAAGATTACAACAAAATGTTAATTTAGTTATAATTATAACTAACTTTTAAAAGTTATCAGTTAGATATATTCCACTCTGTAAATGTATGTTTATTCAATATAATTTAATTATAGGCAATACATTTTATTATTTACAGGATAAACGTAAACACGTAAAATATGACATTTGTGTATCTGCGTATCCAAATTTTCGTTATAGATATAGGTATAAGAAGAAAATTTACAAGGTACGGGGTACACATTCAGTGGCGTAGATACGATTATTTTCTGGAGGGGTTTATTTCATATTAAATTTTTGACTAATTAATATTTAAAGATGTATTTTTTTATTTAAAATTAATTGATAATATTATTAACAAAATATAAAAAAATAATTTTATATCGTACCTCTACTTTATTTATGAATAATTTTTTTTTGGTTCTGAGGGGGGTTTAAACCCCTAACCTCCCCTGTATCTACGCCACTCTAAACATTAAATACCCTTGACTACACCACTGTTATGTTGTATTTTAAATTCTAAAGATTTATATAAAATTACTATCTAATAAAATATCTTAAAATACGCTTGAATTCCTTTACCCTTTTAAAATTTAAGAATGCGAAATGAATCTTTGATCAAACAAATAAAATACCGAAAAATACACACTGTAATGTACATTTTTCAAAAATGTTTACAAATATCCCTGTAAGAAAACCTATTATTTAGTGTTTTATATTATATACATTTTATCAATCATTTCAATATATATATATTCATTTCATTCATTCATATCTCAACCGTGGTTTTTAACCCTAGAAATTTGTTGGTGTTGCCATTAAGACTACGGATATTTTAATGGCAAAATCAGCACATGTGTCGACCAAGTAGTCAGTGACGAAAAGGTATACGTTATTCGTTCAATTCAAAAGGAATGTTGGTATCACACACGAATTGAATCGTTTTACAATAGTATAACTATGTTAGTGTATTATTCGCGGCTTACAAATGTTGTGAAGAATATAATGCTCTAACATCCTATCACGATACATAAAGATATACCTATATATATATATATATATATATATATATATATAGATGGCTATACTTGCATATATCTGTAGGCTAAAGTGTGTAGGTACTAGTATTTTGTACGTATCTTTGTATACATATATTACACCGTATAGGTTCGAGTCTGCAGGCGGCCGTTTTTGTATTGAATATATATATATACATACATATGACAAACCCTAAATTGGAATTTCAACACATAATAGACATTTCCAACACCAATGAATGAGTAAAACATTTGATGACAGTTTTTGGATACTGTAATCTGCCACCAGGTAATGTCGTAAGAACATAAATATTCTTTAATGAAGTTACCAGTATGTGTAAGACTATTTCATTAAAATCCACCTGTTATCAATAGAGGCGTAACCCAAAGGGGAGGGAAGTTTGGGTTTGGACCGCCTCTCAACAAGGTAATAAGTTCCTTAAAGTTTTATACGCATCAACCTTATATATAAATGCAACTAGAAAATTTTTTAATTGATTAAATCTTCTTAAATTATTTAGTTTTGCCTTTGATAATATTTTTAAAATTGTCGAATTTAATGTATATTTATTATCTTAAAATAAAAAATAATCTTGATATCAAATTAATATGAAAACATTAGTTGCAAAAATAAATGTTTATTTTGAAATAAATAAAATGTTTTAAGAGATAACAATTCACGCTTGAAACTAAAAAATATATCTAGAAGTAAAGTTAAAATTAAGAAGTTAGTGATTTACAAGGGTTAAAAATAAGCAATTCACTAAAAATTAGACTTTTTTGTTGTAATCTGAGATCCTTAAAATGTAAAGTTCGAATACCGATTACACTTTTCTTGGATATTCTTATTCTAGTAAAGCAGTACATAATCATTTATTCTATCATAAAATAAACATGATAAATAATAATAAATTATACATTTTATATTGCTAAAATACTAAAATGAAAGGTACGAAATTTTTAAAGCAAACAATCATTACACAAGTAACATTGATTACATTAACTTGCATTCATTTTTTAAATAAATGAATCTTCTTATTATTTAATACTGCCGAAAAGCTATAAATGAACTGACATTGACTTACTCTACATAAGTTGACGGTATAACATAGCTAGTTTTGCTGGCTGTTACGTCAATTATCATTTTAATGTACTATGAGTAAATCTTTCGTATTGTTATCATTCAGTCGTTTATACACCGCGCCCAGTATAAACGGTCCATTGTTAACAAATGATAACGTGCAATTTAAACAAATTTTGTAATTTGAAAAACTACTTTCTGTTTTCTGGACTGTAACAAAAAATGTGCTACACAACAATTGTGAAAAATTGAAAATGCTACTTTCGTGATGACATCAAAAATTATGGAGTTTATCTCATATGTGGTTCACTATTTTATCCATTTAAATCGGGTGGATATTAGGTAAGTATTTACGAAAAACTTAGTGTTATTACAGTTTTTGAGTCGTTTATAAAGTTAATCAGTGTGTTTAACAACCTTAAATTTTATTTAATCGCCTTTAAATTAATCTTAATTATTGGCTAAATGTAGGTCACACTTATGAAATAAAATTTTTATTTGGCCTTTAAAGTTTAAGTTATTTATTACAACAAATAAAATTGTATTATTGCTTTTTTAATTAAATTAAAAATAAAGAGTCTCCAAAATCAAAATTTGATTCCATGCAAGAAGCAGGGTGGAGATCACATAAACCCACTAAATTCATTTTCATAAAAATATCTATGAATATGTATATATATATATATATATATATATTTATATATATGAGATACATCTAATAATTTTTTTAGAATTTAATACTTAATTTATACAATTTATCATTTGATAATAATAAGTAGTCAACTAGTTCAAAAATTCAATTTTTTATTTCTTCAAGAACCTCAATTCCTGTGAATAATTTTAGTTTTTCTGAATTTTAAATATTTTAGTAAAAGCTACAATAATATTGCTTGTACGCATAGATAGAATATAAATTATTTTAGAAAAAAAATTTACTTATGTTTTATTGATAGCTTTTATTAAAAGCATAAATGACTTAAGAATAGAAGGCTCTTATGTGTTAAGTATAAACAACAGCGGCTTTAAGGTAAATCAACTGACTAATGTACTTCTAACCGCACATTTATGTTTTTAGACATAATTTTGCATTACTAATTACACTATTTTTAATATCATTTAATTTAATTTTAATTTTAGGTAATTTTATAAACCCTTTTCATTCTTTTGTTTAATAATACATCATTTTTAATCTTAAAATTTAATTACATTATTAAAAATAAAAAATAAAAAGGGCTATGTTTTTATTAACAAAGAATTGTATTATTTTTATAATTTCTATATATAATAATCATATATTTTGACTAAAATTATTTTTTCAAAAAATATTTTTAAAAATTCAAGTAAATTCAATAATTTATTGATTAATAATTATTTACATTATTTCTAATTAGTTATTATGTTAATATTTACATAATAAACAACATTTCTTAATTATTTACATATAAAAATTGATTTAGTTTTTTTAAATTTAGTATACTCAAAGATTAATAAGTAAGGAATCTGTTTAATTGTAATGATTAAGGCAAGTGTTCAAAATTAATTTTCAAGGGAGGAGATGTAATATTTGTTATATTAGATATATACCTATTTTAAAATGTTGGGGGCTAACCCACTTCTATACAGGCCTGTTATGATTAATAGGAAGAACTTTGGCAATCTTTTCATACATTTTGAAAATGTACCTCTTGTAAATTTCTATGTAGCTTTTTCAAATACTAATATAAATAATTAATTTAAATTTAAAAACATTTTTTGATTATAATTAAAAAAATGCTAATTAAAATTTTCTACTAATTAGTGGACAGTTTTATAAGTTTTGTTGACAATTTTTAGGGTATTTAAGATACTTAAATCTAGGTCTTAATTGTAATGTGTATATAGTAAGAAATTCTTATAAACAAGTACAATTAATTTTCCCTATTCAAAATTTAACTACAATTCTTAGTATCTGACAGGGTTTAGACCTTGCCCTGTACAATAACTATTACTATAAATAGTATATAACTTGGCACTAGGAAAATAGTCAAGAAAAATAAGTCTTTAGCCCATCATTGATAAATTTAAAATAAAGTTATTCAAGTTAAAATTTCAAGATTCTTATTACCACATTAAATATTATTATGATTTTATTTTTTTCTTTATTTGATTTATACAATCTATACAATATTAGTATAATAAGTATAAAAGATGATAATGATTTTTTGACTTGATTATTTTGAGAAGAGAAGCTGCTCACCGTCAACATTTTTTTTGAAGTGTATTAAATATTATTAAAATATATTTAAAGAATAATTGCTGAACTTATACAGAGTTATATAATATTTATTATATTATTGTTATAATATAAAAATTTAAGAAGATAGAATTTTAATTTCGATTTTATATCATTATTGGAGTTATGAATTAAATACTTATGCATGTGTTCTTTTTGTTACTACTTGTAAGGAAATGTGTTCTATCAAAGTATGTTTCGAATTATATATAACTTAATTATAAAATCTTATTTTACTTATTCTAGTGCTAGGGAGTAGTGAAAATTTAAAACATTTTTGTATAATAATTTATTTTTTCTTAAAATAGGAAATACATAAAATTATTTTATATAATTCTTCTGAAATCTACTCTAAATTGACAAAATGTTTTTATTTAAAATATTAATAGATCCGTATCTAGTATTATACACTATATATGTATCGCGCATTGTTACCTAGTCTATTAATAACTTACTGATATTAATTAAAAACAGGCGACAATAATTGAAGAGTGAATGTATCAAACGTTCTATGTGCCAAAAAAGTGAAAAATTGTTTTATTTCTGATTTCTGTTCTATGTGCCAAAGGCCACAATCTTGTATGTGTTTCAAATGTCAATTAAAGTTTTTACTTGTACAAAATTGCATTCATAGATGGTGTTCGTTGTGTGAGACATGCCCATGTTACCATTGTTTTTTGTGTTTTCTGAACAAATATGTTTTTGGTACATAGAACGTTTGACACATTCACTCTTCAATTGTTAATGTAGTCATAGGTACACCCGAGGAGCTTAATATCCCTCAGTTAACATAATATATCTTCGCAAAATTAATATAATATTAAAATATTTTTTAGGACGGCAAAATATATTTAATACACACAAAATTCTTCTAGTTAATATAATTTGTTATACCATTTATTTAAATTATAATTATAATATGGTATTAGAAATACCTAATTATTTTTATTTGATTCAATACTATGATCGTAACGTTAAATGTAAATTTAACCAAGAAAAATTATATATAAAAAAAAAATTTAGCACAGCAGTGTTGCGCACTGTATGGACGTGGCATAGTTGGGACAAGTATAAATGAAATCTAACAGTGATTAAAATCACTATCATAAGAAGCGCTTCGATGTAAATCTGAAGTTGGTGTTTAATTTTAAGAAAGTGGTGGATTATAACAAAAGCAAAATGAATTCCTATTTCCTTGTGTACATGCTTATTACAAGTTTTATGATATATAATATCATAATATTGAAATATTTAATGAATTTGTTCAACTGGATATCGTTGAACTGAGTGGAAGTTTAGGAGTGCCCGACCCTAAGTAATTGGGATGAAGGCGAGGAAAAAGAAGAAAGAAAAAGAATGAATTTATTCTACTTCAATGGCCATTTGCACATAGACGATAAGTTTTCAGGAAAATTTTTTTTTAACTTATAGTACGTAACATGAGCTGTAATTTAATATATGTTTAAATGTCGCAGTATTTTCGGAACTTTTTCAAAAGTTAAGTTAAAAAAATTGACTTTTGTGAAAAAGTTGCTATTTTGAATCCCTCCCTGTGGGCAGGTAAAAAGTCAGGTTTTGAAAAAATGTACATTAAAGAAAAAGGATATACGTAAGGTTAAATTAAAAAAAAAATTTTTATTTGTTTATTTTTTGAAAAACTTATGGCAGTAAAAAAAAAATATATATATATCAAAATTTACCGACATAAAAAATCTTATTTTTTTCCAAATTTTAAGGGTAATGTCTTTAATAATTAGAATTTAAATTTAATAACTAGATACGATTTGTGATCTTTTGACGTATCGTTAAAAGAAATCGGTTCGGTGAGAGCTGAGAAAAAGTAGCCTTATACAATTAAATAAAAAAAAGACATTGTAAAATTAATACCTTCTCAGCTTCGTATTGATGCTAAAAAAATGTTTAGTGCATCTTATATACATTTTTAAAACCATATTTTGTTATTTTTTAAAACATTACATTCACAGCCCTAATTATTATCAATAATCTTATTATATTCATCATCATGCAAGAAAGTTCATAGTAAAAAATATTTATTTAATATTTGATACATTTTGCAAGAAAAAACACAATGTTGAACTATTATCATTATTATAGTCAGAGTCGTATAAAGGTGGAGGGATCACAGCTCGCAAATTATAGGGATTAATTATAATATATCATTAATAATCAATAAATGAATTTCCCAAATTTCTAAGTTTGACACTTTTCGAAAATAGATGTTTAGGATCCAGCCTTTTAAACTACATTTTAACAAAAAAAAAATTTAACATACGAGTATTTTAAGAGTAGCTGTGATTATAAGGTGAGTAATAGCTGGATTACTTCCCATAGTCCGTTTCTTTTACATTATAGTTAAAGAGTCTTTAGTGTGCTATAGATATAGTTATTATCATAGAAATTTACATAATATTTATAAAAAATAAATGTACTTTATTTAAAATATGTACATAAAAATATTAAGAATGATTTTATGTGTGCATTCAGTTTAAATTTTGGAGATGTTTAAATATTCGTATACAAGGCGATCGGTTTATCATGAACCATTTGATTGAAATAATATTGTAAAATAAATACAATATTGAAAAAATAATTTTTTAGTATTTAATTCTTGATTTATCAACTAATAATTACTTCTTAGTATCATTCCCTTATATCGTATAGTGTGTCAACTTTATTTTATTAAATGGTAACATACATATTTAATTAACTTATAAAATAGAAAATTATTTAATTAAGAAAATGACTTGATGTGTAATTTTCTATCGACATCTCTGTCTTAAATAATTAGTCATGTCATTTATATATGTATTAACATATTAATATTTCCAGGGGTCTATTTAAATTTTTTTAGGAGTAAAACTTAATTTTGTTTTACTTTGGTAAGCATGCTAGAGAAAATTGTTTTACTAAAATACAAATTGATGACTAAAAGAAGAACTTTGAAGCTATATTGTGTAATTTTCGAATTAAAAAATATGATCCAGGGTGGCTAACACCTTTATCTCTTCCTTTAAATACGCCTCTGAATTTACTTATTTACTTTTTGTAACTTAATTTGTAATTTCATTGCAGTCGTGATTTTTAACTTGCTTTTACGAAGAAATTTACCCAATGTTTAATGTAAAAATATGCTATTGTACTATTTTAATATTTGACTAAAAAATGTCAAAACCGTTGTTTATGGATGTCAACAGTTATACTTATTTCTGTGAGCTAGTCACGATGTCTGCAAAATTATACCCTTGTTCGCGGTCCTTCCGGTGGTTATAGTAGTCAGGAGCATTAGGTAACCATCAGTTCTAAGATTTTAGTGCAGGGGTATCTTTTTATTCTAATATAATCCATGTCAAACGCAGCGTGATACTTTGTAAGAAAAAAAGGTTTATAGACCCAAAAAGGAAAAAAAGTGGACTATATTATATTGATGGCTATTGTATATCAATAGCTCAGGTATTAAGACTGAGTGCCGGACACAAGTAGACAATTTGGTGCCTGTTGACCAGCTCAGTGGTACTATATATAACCTTCAGAATCGTTATGTTGTCACTTGTCTACGTGAAGTTCCTTTTTTCTTTGCCGACGTTTATCTGAACGGTTTTGAGTTCATACTAGGCTCTTGTTTGTTATCCTATATTTATGTGACATAAATTATACAAATTTTGTTTTTACCAGATAACAACCCACGCAAACGATTTTGTCTAAAAATTGTATTGGACAATATCGTTATATGTGTAAGCCATTGCTTATGAAGTTTTAACTGCTAAGTATATTTAAATTTTAAACCACCACACTTATGGTAATTTAATAATTTAAACATAATAATATTATGATTAACTTTCAATACGTTAACAACATTTTAAAGAATTTATTTCGTTGTATTATTACACATAGTTGTATAATACTATCTGATTGTTCCGATAAAATATTTAAAAATGATTTTAGAATTTATGACATACTAAACTATTTTATATTAATTTAGTTTACAAAAATTAACGATTTATTTTGTAATTGAATTGTGTTAATAATAATTTACGAGAGATTACTAAAAATTTCATTTGATTGCATAAAATGTTAATGTTGAATTTTAATAATAATAATATTGTATTTCATTCGACTTGTATCTCATTATTTTAATATTTTGAATATGAGAAAGATTATCCAAATAATTTCACGAAGAGAAAAATTCTAATTCTACAGTTCTAATAATTAGATCAATTATGAGAAACTTATTAATTTTCAGAGCTATGAAAGAAAACAATTTTGTTTAATTGAAACTTTATACAAGTTTATTGTTCCTCGATTTTTTTTATCGGTCACTAAGTTTTTGCTATATAGAAAAAATCTTGCATAATTTTAAATAGTTTTAAAATTTATTCATTTATTATAGTTAATTAATATTTATGAAAATGTTAAATTCTAATTAGTCTCCAAAAATCAGCCGATTTGTTTATAGAACTTTTTTTTCTGTTGAATACTTTTGTAACAACCTATACGTAGTTATTATACTTCGTAGTAATTACTCCGAAGGATGTTTTGTGTAGTGTTACCAGATTAGGTTGAAAAAGGCAATTCATCGCTTTTAAATGTGCTAATTCGGAGTATCCGCTTATTCATGCTTATTATCAAAGAATTCCGGTTATGGACATTGGACCTCGCGCTTGACTTAATTGAAAATATAATTTGTTATTTATGTCTATAAATGTATATGTTAACATACATTTATATATATATGTAATAACAATACAATCAAATACTTTAATTAACATTATCTAAAAATATGTCAAAAAAGTTTAATAGCTTTAAAGCAATTATTTTTGTCCTTTATTTATTCATTTAAATTTTTAATCATTTATTATAATTATGTATATAAACCAGTAATCAAATTGTTTTTGAAAGTTTTAGATTTATTCAAAAATTTGTATACATTTTCAACGAAAAAAAAAAATATATTATTTTGGACTTAATTTCTAAATTTAGGCACCTTTACAAGAAAATTTCATTTTATTTTAACTATAATTATTAACCTATAGGTTAAGGCCTTATTTCTATTTTTCTCAAGATGTTAATAGACTTAAATAAGAATCTGCTTGATTAATTACAATTTAGTATATACAGCAAGTAAGTTGTATACAACTTGCAGGGCCGTTTATAAGGGGTATCTTGAAACCTACAAATATTGTCATCATATGGTCTTTGAAAAAAATTTTATTCTAATATTGATAATTTGTCATAATAAATATCAACATAATTAACAAAAGTAAAAGGTTTGATGAAAAATTAAAATGATGAAAAAAAGCTTGTAAGATTTTTATTATTTAAAGGGCAATCCTGAAAAAATTAGGGTTGCCAAAATTCATGTAAAAACTACTCCCTAAAATCTAAAATGTTTGCTACTACTATACTATAACTATAAGACTATAACTTGCTGTTAGTTATGAATCGTTTAACGATATTGTTCGTATTTTATTTACATTAAGCCATTATATTAAATACATACATTTTATTAAACTATCTATTATTTATGCTAATACATGTAGTGGGTGTGTTTATGTGTGCGTATGTTGGAAGGTCCTGACCAATGACCTTAAAGAGCAAATAGAGAAATATACAGTAATATCGAATTGTTTCCTGGGTATCACTGCAGATCGCTGAACTCACAACATTTCGGTTCGCAGCGACCACGAGTCTGGCTTATTCTCTCTTAGCAATCGTTGTGTGTTCATGTTCATAATTTTTTTTTTGTCAATGAAAATTAATACTCGTGAATTGAAAAGTTTGAATATCTGTTACTCGATATTTTTTTAACATATTGCGTTCTAAAATCAAAAATAAATCGTTTTTTTTTTTATTAGTTAAATCTTGACTTTTATCCACAGGTGATGCTTGCAGTAATTCATGACATCTATCGCCACTTAATCAAAAATACTTTGGGCTCCTATGAGCCTTAAAGCAAAAAATATGAAGTGTTATATTTTAAAATTCTTTTGGTGGTATCTAATTTTGATGACATGGTACACTATCGAAGCATTTGAATCGGATGAGAAACGTGATAAAACATTTTTATTTCGACAAAGAGTGCATAAGTACCGAAAAAGTCACCAAGAAGTAATTAAGAATGGACGTAAACGACCCAATATTGTGTTGTTTTTAACTGACGATCAAGATGTCGAACTTGGTTAGTATTAAAAATGTGTATTTTTATGTAATTCATAATAATTCAGTGGTGTTCGGATAAAGGGTTCTAATTACAATTACTTTGTACTTAAAAAATTTTGTTTTATTCAGGACACATTTTGTCTATTAGGCTTAGTATAGGCATCATTACTAGAACACCTCAGAATCAGACTATAAAATTAAAAATTAAAAATGGAAAAGACAAAACAAAATTCTCTATAGACAAGCTGTAAATATTTGATTAGTAAAATAGTACTTATAGGAAAAATAAAAGAGCTTCTCTTTTAGTGTTTTAAAAGTTTTCGCTTTGAAAGTGGGATGACATGAATTCATGTAATTTAGAACACATTTATATGTTTAATCATTGATATGTTTGATAATCAAGCGCTCTTTTCTTATATGAAAATATTTGTAACTTTTAGAAAGTAAAAATATGTTCATAAATTCTACTCTGGACTCAGATGTATAATTAAAAACCCTATAGAAGATAATTTCCTCCTAATTTACCTTAGTAAATAAAAAGAATTTCCTGTCTTAAAATAATTTTTTTTTTTAATAAATTTCATAATTTTTTAACTTAAGATAGATAAAAGAACATTGATAATTTATACACATTTTTCTCATATTTAAAAAAATATTTGCCATGTCATATTCCAATATTCTATTATGAAATGTTCTCATAAATACGTTACATATAAAAATTAATATCTATATCAATAAGTGTGTTACCAGTTTCTTTCGATGTATAAGATAAAGTGTTCCGTTACGTTTTACTGACGCATTATTGGGTTAACCAGGTTAGAAGATCACTTAAATGAAATTCCTATATAATATTTGTATTATATATATTATTAATTGATTTAAAAAATTATAATTTTTGTTTTAAGTAACTTTGTGTACTTATTACTTATAATTACTTATTATTATTTCATAAGAATTTTTTAAGCAGTATCTTCAAAATTTGAGGATAAAAGTTGAATTAGCTATATTTAATTTGCTATATTCTATCATTCTACTTAATTTATTAAATTAACTAATTTTTAATTTTTATTTTTTTGAATACTGTATGAATTATCTTCAAAGTTTGAAGTATATTTGTATTAAAAAGAAAATTTGTAATTCAATGATGTTCGAAATATCTCGATCGTTAGATGCTTGGGTGATTAATTATTTGAGCTGTGCTTGATTTTTAAATATGCGAGTTTAGTAATATTGATATGAGATATCGTTAAAAATCAAAGGTAATTTTGTCAAAATAGTGATCATTTATTTTTACTACGATCATTTTTACGAAATTAAATTAAACAAGAAAAAAAGTTAACCATGAAAATTGATTTCATAATCTACTATAGTCTTCCCTATTGAAAAATATTTTTTTAATTATCTGTTGTAATGAGAAAGTAGCATTGAAAAAAAACCATTGTGTATGTGAAAAATAACTTAAAAATACTATAAATTTTCTAATGATATAGCAGGTGTTCTTTTTTGTACGTCTAATAATTTTTACATTTTTTTTTTTTAAGTTTTTAAACTTTATAAATTGTTTTTTAATCAAAAATGTTTAAATAATTTCTTACCCTATTCATTTAGTTCATCTATGTATATATTTAGCCTTAATAGGATGTAAGCTACATTTTCGTTTTATTACAAAAATTGAAAAAAAAATAAAAAATTTTTCCATAGTCGATAATTAAATTGCCACGTGCAACTAACTAATAACAATGTTACTTACGTATTTTATAGAAAAGAAGCTCATTGGCTAACGATCAATTCTATACCCGATAGGCAGAGGGGTCCTAAGTTGTTTATTGTTATTTTTTAAGGGAAGCGAAAAACCTTTTTTCTTCTCGTATGATTCTACAAAAACTATTAAAATGAAGATCGGTAAAAGGATGGACTTTGATCCTTTTACTTCTCGGATACAATACAGTGACAAATTTTAAAGGGGCGCGAGATCCTTTGCCCTTTCCTTGAACTTTAGTTTATACTCAAAAAAACATTTTAACAAATAAAACAGCAAACTTAATTTTGACATCTAAAAACTTTTTGCGTCTCCCTTTAAAAAGTTCTGGTTTATCCGTGGTGTAGAATTTTGAAGTTTTAATATAAGTAAAATGTCGTTTTCGTCAAATCATTTAACGGTAATAAACTATCGCCTTTTTTAGTATTTGTGGGAAGCTAAGAAGGTATTGGTTTTACTGTAATATATTTTTTTTTTTTATGTCTGTCCATGAAAATACTCAGCTTTCACTAGATCGATTTTATTGGTTTATGCATCAAAAGAACCAAATTTTAATCTAGTCAAAAAACTAACGTCCCCAAAATTAAAAAAAAAGATTTCAAAATTTTATATATTTTAAAAATATTATAACTTTTTTTTTTAAATGCTGATTTTAATGAATTTTTAATAAGATATACTAGATGTACGATATACTATAATGAGTTTTCTTTGGTATGCTTATTGTAGAAATTCAATAAAAACCCTAAATATAGGAATGGTTTGAAAGTGTCTACCTAAGTATTAAAGTTTAAAATACTCTTTTACGCCATCTTAAAATAATAATCATATATTTGAACATTACATAACAGTAATAACAAATTAAAAATAATAATTGTTATTTAGTTGCCAAACCAAAGATATTGAGTTCATGTCACATGCTCATTTTTACATGTTACACAAAAGACTAGAATGTACAGAATACCTGTTAAATGATTCTGTAGTTACTACAGCAGTGTAGTGTGGCTCAGTGGACATTTTAAATGCTACCAAACTTTAAAGTTGAGCTTTGCCTGCCTTCAATTACAACGGCGACAAACACTATATCCCCTATTAAATAAAGCAAGCGGAAAACAACTATACTTATCAATTCTCTAGAAATACCAGTGTTTTGGTTACTCAATTTTAACAGTGAACTGTAAGGAATTCGAATATATAAAACTTTTATTTTGATAAATAACTTACTTTATTTTTCGCTCGTTATCGTGACGGTATGAAATGGCAAAGTTACAAATGCATTTGCTTAGGCCTCACGAAGATGTTTTCCTATATCTAGCGCCGATCCTGATTTGTATTTGAATATTTTAGCTTCGATGCGAAGCTGAGAAGGTATTCGTTTTACTATAATGTGTTTTTTTTTGTGTCTGTTACCACTTTTTCTCAGCTCTCACCAAACCGATTTCTTTCAACGATAAGTCAAAAGATCACAAATCGTATCTAGTCGAAGATATTACCCTCAAAAATTGAAAAAATTTCCATCGTTCCCTTTAATGGGGGAAATCTCCAAAAAAATAACAAATTTAAAAATTGCTAATTTTTGAAATTTTTTCACTTAAAACTACCATAACTTTTTCAAAAATGAACAAATCAATATATTTTTTTTTATAGATGCATAATGTCTTTACCTTTCATTTGATATATTTTTTTATAAATTTGACCCTTTACCTGCACACAGGAGGGGATTAAAAATTACAACTTTTTCACAAAAAATTAACTTTTTAAAGTGTTCCGGAAATACTGACACTTTTATATATACCTTAAATTAAACTTATGTAATATACTTTATTTAAAAAAAAAAAAAATTTCGTACTTTATTTTGTTTTTATGATGAAAATGGTTACTGAATGCTATTTTTGCGTGAAAATTCTTGATTTTATATTTTTAACTTTATAATGCTATAACTTATTGAAAAGTGTATGGATCAATAAAATTTTTTCATGAAAAATAATATTTATATCCCTCTTTCATTCAACATACTTTATCTTAATCAGGATATAAATAAGGAAATAGCAGATCATGTAGATTTTGGAATAATCCACCAATTAATTAAAATTAAACACTACAGATCTACATCGAAGCTTCTTTAATGATAGTGATTTTAATCACTGTCAGATATCATCTATACTAGACCCAACTATGCCTTGATCCCACTGTGCCGCCACCCACCTGTGCTGGGTTTTTTTTTATTATTACTATTCAAATATAATTAGGCTGCTTTATTCGCATACATATTTTTAATACACTTTACTTTATCTAAAAGTATTTTAACAAACCTAATATGTAAAAATAATAACCTAGAATAAAAAATTAATCTCCCAAATTTGTAGGATTAATATTTTTTTATATTAATTATGCTGAATAATTATTAAGTTGAATATCATATTTTAATTTTCAAAATATAATATACATACATCTAATAAAAAATATCAAAAATGATTTGTCAATGAAGGGAATCTATTCCCTATTATTACCTCCATTCTGACTGTCACTGTTATACAAGTTTTTAAATTTATTGATTAATTCGTCAATTCTATTGTTTGCAGGATCTTTGAATTATATGGAAAAAACTCAAAAACTTTTACGGGATGAAGGTGCAGAGTTTCGTCATGCATATAGTACTACTCCAATGTGTTGTCCATCAAGAAGTTCATTACTGACAGGACTTTATACACATAATCATGAGGTTTTTACTAATAATGATAATTGTAGTGGTCCAGTGTGGCAAAATTTGCACGAATCAAGAAGTTTTGCAACTTATTTAACTAGAGATGCTGGTTATCACACTGGTAAGAAAATCATTTATTTATGAGTAATTGCTAGACATTTGTATAATGACTATAGTGTTAAGTAACTAAGTTATCATTAAAAAAAATTTGTAAAAATTAAACAGATCTTAGCTTGTTATTTTTTCTAGTATTTTATAAATTTATATTAAAACAAAAATATTAATAGCTATCGTAATAGGTCTTACAATTACTTTGAAAATATCTATCTCCAAGGCCCCAACCAATTTATATACTACAGCTCATTCATATTTATATTTTCACTTACTTCATGAATTTATATTTATTATTTATTGTTATTAAAGATAGGTCCAGTCTTGCCTGTCATTTCTCTAATTGAGAAATGAGTTTAAATTGAAATCTGACTAATTAATAATTGCTATAATAAAATTCATTGAAGTAAATTTGCATAAAATATTTAACTTACTTCACCAAGCTGTTCACATTTCAGAGTTAACTGCATTTAATATTATATATTCACATGCAAATACATTTAAATAAATAGCAAAAAAGAAAATAATATACAAAATTGACAATTTTTACAAAAAAATTGTATAATTTTTTTCAAGATATGAAACATTTCTCAATGAAAATAAATTATGAGGACATGTTTTTTATTTTAATTTAAATTTTCTTAAATATCATTTAATTTTCTATAGTTTTAAAGATGCAGGTTTCTTAGAACATTAATAAAAATTGAAAACAAATTTTTTTCTTAATATTAAACATGTTTTCATATTTGTAATTAGGTTAGTAAAAAAAAAAAAATATTGGTATAGAACTAAATATTTTTAAAGAAATTATAACATTTTAAAGAAAATATTTAAAATGAAAATTTGTATGATTTTTAACTTAGAACGTCCTTTGTACCTAGAAGATTAGACCTAAGCAATCAGAAAATAATGACAGGGGGAGGGTTATTACCATTTTTACTTTATTCAATAAAAACTTTTTACTCTAAATCACTATCTAAGAAAACTCGAGTAATCAAAAAAAAAAAAAGTTTATCACAGGTAATAAATTCAAACATGGCTTATTTTTTGGGGTTGTTACTAACAAACCATCCCTGGTTGTGTCACTGGTATGAAGAGAAATGTGTTGTTTTAATCTTATAGTATATTTAAAAATACATTATTTAGTGTAATATATTGTTACTAGTATAACATTTTGACTAAAAAACATTGTAGACTACTTATACAGAGTACCTTAGGTCTAACTGACAACTCTTATAAATAGAGCACAAAGTTTATGAAATATTTTGTTCTTGAAGTGGAGTGATCTCTTTTAAGTCCCCCAAAACTAAATTTCTAATCAATATTTAATTTTTAGTGTTAAGATCAACCATTATAAATATCAAATTATCATTAAAATATTCAGAATGACTACAATAAACTTTATAAATGCAAATCCCAAACTCTGCTTATAATTTTTGCTAGAATTAACATTTTGCTGTAATTTTCTTGAAAATAACTTGTGCGTTCTTTGATTACATTAAAAACATATTTTTAATTATCAGCTTTTAGTAATAAAAATAATAAAAAATAATTTTATTATTTCAAAATCCATAAAATTTTAGCACTTTTCTTACAAAAATTTTTAATGGTTTGATGACAATTTTTGACAAATACATATTGAGTTACAAGCATTTTAATACATAGAGTGGGTCCTGTGTATACATAGGGTGTGTGTAAACTCTGCTTTCATTCTAACCCGCCCTATGTATTAAAACAATTGTAAATTAATAAGTATTTGTCCAAAAAATTTATCAACCCATAAAAATTAAAAATTAATTTTTTTCTTATTAGTGATAAATTATAAAAGAAGGATGTTTTGAATGTATTCTAGAAGGCAATAATTATTTTTAAACAATTTTGTATATTACAAGATGAAAGACATTTCAGAACATGGTTAAGAATTAAAAAGAATAAATAATTTTTTGTCATATTTCTATATTTGAAACCCTCCTCCCACATGTACATAAATAGTCATAAAAATGTTAAAATTTGTATTTCAAAAGTAAGATAAATTTCTAAAATATTATCTTAAAAATTTTCGTATTAAACATTTTTAAAAATGCTACTGCTCTTTTTTATTTATTTTAAAGTTAAAAATACATTCGTATTTAAAATCATCAAATTTTTGTGATATTTTCACATTAAAAATATAAGAGATTCTTTTCAAGTTTTCATAGTAATTTCTTGAACTATGTATGATTTGTGTTCTTTTGATATACTATATATTAGTTTAGTTCAGTAATCTGAGCACACGGACAAAAAAAATAATAAATGCATATGGTGAAAAAACCAATATCTTCTAAGATTTACATCAAAGCTAAAAATTCCTTTAAACTAAAATCCTAGTGTAATAAATAACATTTATAAATATATATATATACAATTATTAAACAGGCTATTTTGGAAAATACTTGAATAAGTATAATGGCAGTTATGTACCTCCAGGTTGGCGCCAATGGGGTGGTCTCATTATGAACTCAAAGTATTATAATTATTCCATAAATTTAAATGGAAAAAAAATTAGACATGGAGATAACTATAACAAAGTATGTCTTGAATCTTATAAAATTATGGAATGATTACTACAATTATTTATTTAACATTTTTTTTTTTTTAGGATTACTATCCAGATTTAATTACCAATGATTCTATTAACTTTCTTAGACATGTTAAACTGCATCATCCTCAACGTCCATTCATGTTAGTAATGAGTTTCCCTTCACCACATGGACCAGAAGATTCAGCACCTCAATATTCTAATATGTTTTTCAATGTAACATCTCACCAGTATGTCACCAGTATTGACGAATTTAAAATCTTTAAAATTGACAAACTAAATAGAATTTTAATTTTAGTACTCCTTCATATGACTTTGCACCTAATGCTGATAAACAATGGATATTACAAGTTACTGGCCAAATGTTACCAATACATAGACAATTTACAAATTTATTAATGACTAAACGTCTACAAACTCTTCAAAGTGTAGATGATTCTGTATCAAGAGTAAATTAAATTTCCAATTATTTTAATATTTATTAATGTTTGTCAACATTGCCGATATTTTCATATATTTGACTGATCAACTTTTTTACAATATTTATTATTTATAAATTATATTTTAAGTAAATTAATAAACTTAATGTTTATTTTACCATTTTAAAGAAATGCTTCATTAACATATCAAATAGTTACAAGTATGTAGCTATTTAAAAACCAGTATATTTTTGTTCATATTAATATGGTGACTAAACGATAGAATATCAACCCAGAAGACCTATAACCATGCTTGTATTATCATAGATTAATGAATATATTAATTTTAAAAACAGTATTTCATTATATTTTAATTGAGAATTCTGTCATAAATAAGGTGGCGTTTAGCTGTTACCAAATACTTGTATATATACTTTATTTTAATTGTCAAGTTACTCTCAAAAATCATCTTGATAATACTATCCAAAGCATTGAACAATTCTAATTTGGTAATATTTGATTATTTTTTGTTTCCTAAAATGAAAAAACTGATAGAACACTGTTAATGAAATGCTAAAGAGAATAAAAATAATTCAATTACCATCTCATCAAACATTTTTTTAAGACTTTTTAGGACGAGTAAAATTTGGAAGATATCTATTGTGTCTGGAACAGTGTTATTAAAATAATTTATTTGAAATTGTAATTTTATATATTATATATACAATGGATAAATATTCTTCTTTGAAAATAATTGTTTTACCATATTTTTAATTAGAAATTGATGTATTGCAATTCAATTGTTTTTTTTTTTTATATTTGATTATAAAATAAAAAATTAATAATATATTTTTGTGTACAATATCAAAATATTTAAACAATTTTAAAACAATCCATTTTCAAAAAAATATTATTGATTAACACTTATATTTATATCTATAATTAATAATTTATTTTATTTTATTTAATTATTTCATAATCTGTTAAATTAACTCATATATTTTTAGGTATACAAAGAACTAAAAGAAATGGGAGAACTAGACAGCACTTATATAATATATACTTCTGATCATGGATATCATTTAGGTCAATTTGGACTTGTAAAAGGAAAATCTTTTCCATTTGAATTTGATATTCGAGTGCCAATGTTAGTTAGAGGACCTGGAATTGAGCCTGGAATAAAGTAAAAATTAAAAAATTATTTGCTTAAGAAACATTATTTTATTTAATTATTTATTTTTAGAGTGAATGAAATAGTTCTAAATATAGACTTGGCTCCCACTTTTTTGGATATTGCTGGTATTGAACCTCCTGCTCATATGGATGGTCGATCTGCTTTTAAATTATTTCATAAGCACAAAAAGGGGTACAGAAAATTTATTTCTAATTGGCCTGATACATTTTTAATTGAGAGTAGTGGACGGAGAGAACTTAGCAAGCAGAAGAACCTTCTATCAAATAGTAGTAAATAAATAATATAAGTTTCTAATTAAAATTAAAAGTTAAAAATTTTAATTCTTAATGTAGATTTAAATGATGATGAAATAAGAGTAGTACCTGGAAATAAAGCCAACAAAATGTTTGTTTTATGTCAAAGACCAAACTATCAATCTCCATGTAAACCTGGACAAAAATGGTACTGCGTTCGAGATGGATTCCGGTTAGTTTAATAATTTTATATTTATAGTTTCAAATATCAGGAATTAAATAATGGTTAAACCCTTATAAGTTTTTTACTACATTTAACTTCAAAACTTGTAATTTTTTTTTTTTTTTTTTTTTTTTTTTTTTT